AAATTATAATATCGAATATGAACGATTAGATGCAGCATCACGTACTTTCTCTCAAGTATCATTTCACATTTATTCTCATTCCTCGCATAACTCTCAGTTTTCAAATGTTAGATATTTTGCCCCACTTTGACTGCATTCTTCAGTCTAGTTTCGCGTGCGCGCGTTATTATGCATGTGTGTGTGTGTGTGTGTGTGTGTGTGTGTGTGTGTGTGTGTGTGTGTATGTGTGTATTTTATTAATTATTTTCATTACCTTCACCGTCTATCTTAATCAAGAGAGCAAGACAATTAAATCCGATGATAAACTTAGAAAACGGATGATAAACTAAGAAAACGGAGACTAGTTTTCACATCGAAGCGCGCATTTTTTCCACGCGACGATGAATCTGTCTACTCACATCGAGAACGCGATCGCACGTCAGATTGACGGGCAGCGATTTTACTTTACGAGAAATTCTGTCTCTCACACGATCTCTTATCACTATTTTCATATACTCGCACCTTTCCTAGGAATATATTCGCGGGAACGTCGAGATTACTCCGAAAGCTTTTGGCGATCCTTCGTCCTCTCGTCCCGTTAGCTCGCGCGCGGAATCTCTTCGGTCGTGTTCGCGCGTGCACCACGATGACAATGAGAGAGGAACGGATCCAGAGCCTTGGTGCGATCGCGACGAATATACGCGTACGACCGATTCGTCTGAATGTGCTTCTCGTACTGAGCTGACGAAGTCCGGTCGAGCAACATACATGCACGTTCCACACCACTCGAGAGACCACTCACACACGCACGCGAGAAAGGTGTATCCACATCGTCTTTCCCGCTGCATTCACCTGGCGCGATAAACAGAGCCAGCTCTCGGCCAGTTCGTACACATTAATGCACACACATAGGAACACATATGGGAGATTATGAAGAAATGGGAATGTATTTGGATTCCGTAGGACAATGACTGAAGAAAATTATCGATGGATAACCTTGTCGAAGAAAGACCAAGAGATCGAGAGAACAAGGAAAATTCCTGCGTCGCTCTTGATGTTCACTTTCGATTTTATATTATGATACTTCTGCGACACGGAATGATAAAAATTATATATTCTCGAACGTATCGAAGGATTCGAATTCTTCAAGTTCTCTTACCTCACGCATGTACTTTCTCTTTCGGTAAATGGGAGGAGATCCTCTGCCGGTTGTAGAATTTTAAATCAGTAAGAAAATTTTATGAAGAGTTAATGACCTCTCGAAAATATAATTGTTTTATCAATAATGTTGCTAAATCAGCTTAGTGTTGTGAAACGCTAAGCTTTTGTGCGAATGTGTTTCTATTTATAATAATATTTATATATATTTAATTTATCGTATATCATTTATAGTGTACCAGCGCTTATCTGTAATATATAAATCATCTTTTATTAAAGTGATTACAACTTCGTTATGATACATCGTCTAGACGTAATAGACATTGAGTATATCGCCAAGGATGCTTAACCTAGATAAATATATCTTGATCTCCAATTAGATGATTATATAAGTATTTCTTTTGATCACATATTATTCTTATTTATCAATCGACGAGTATTATAATTATTTTATATGCTGCACGTATTTCATACACATTTATTTATGATTTATTCATGACTTCTAAGTAAATTATACTTCTACGCGTATTTACACATATTTTTATTCTGCTAATATGATATGGCGCAATAGCTGTAAGCGACGATCTTTGATCGCGTCACTCTGTTAGGGTCACATGTTTTCTATTCGTGACAAGATGATGTACTTTTATATATTTATGTACGATACATTTGAAAGACAGTCTGTTTTTTTTATATAATTATTTAATAAGAAAAAAATGTTAAATTATTCTTGTTATTCTTTTGCGTATGTTGATGGAATACAAGAGAAGTGCGTCACGTTCTTTTTTTTGTAAATGTTGATTACTATAAAAGATTTTGTAAATTTAAAATTCGCAAGAGAGAGAAAAAGAATTTTACTCGGACGAAAGATTTAAAAATTATTTTTAAATCGCCGTAGTCGAGATCCACGATTCTAGAGCAGGAGATCTGTTAGAAATTACAAGTCACAAATAATAATTCCCACATCACGGGAAAGTTAACGTGACATTAACGCGAACGGGAAGATTAAAAGAAAAACATAAAAATGAAAAATTCATGCTTATACGTAGAATTGTATGTTTCGATCTAAGTAATCCGGTCGAATCGCACAAAAACTCACCGTCCAAGGCGACATAAGTGCATACATATGAATAACCAGTTTTTTTATATATATGCAATGGCTGAAGTTTCGTATATATCCGTGAGCATGTGTGAAACCTGCTCCTCGATCATATGCAGGTACGTACACGTGAATACGCACTGTCACATTAGTCGCTTTCGTTTCGAATCAACAGCATATCCATGTAGATATATATACATGTATACGTACATACGTACACATATACACGTTTAATCCTGAGCATGTATGCCACGAACGAAAGTGTACCGCCTACGGTCTCGTCATCTTCCGCGTGTACGGCCATTTTACACTTTAGACTGGATGATTGTATGTACAGAATGACAAAAGACATATAAATGATGCATTCATTCGTTGTGCATTTATTAAGCAATGCCTACAGGTAATGATAACATGCGCGCGTGCACGCACGCACGCACGCACACACACACACACACACACACACACACACACACACACACACACACACACACACACACACACACACACACACACACACACACACACACACATACTTCATGACTGAGATAGATCGCCACACATCCCTATCTATGTGTATACTGCTTCATTATCATCTAGTTAAACACGTTAGGTTAAATCAACAGATCTTTTCATTGTTCATTATATATGATCGATTTTACATTTATTATATCGATATACAATAATAAGAAGAGGAACCAAGAATATGCTTCCTTTTATTATTTCTTTAAATAAAAAAATCATAGAAAAATATTTCATGCTACGAATACTAATTTGTTTAGACTTTATTCAGTAAATTCCTGCACATTAGCTTTATCATTAATCATTTAAAATTTAGATGTTTTGGAATTATACTGACCGTGATTCTGAAAAGGATAACAAGAATTTACATGATAAGGATTTATTTATACACACGCGCAATTCTTCGATTAATATCTTCAGTTTGATAAAACTTTATTTATTATATTTTAACATTTTATATGTTATGTAATGATTATATAGAGATTCAATTGCAAATTTGATACAATTTTCGTTTGTTACATTCGTAATGAATTGTCGCGCATATTTCAAAAAGAGCTAGTAAGTTACATTTATGATTATTTAATTCTTTGCATATTTATTTAGAGCAGAACATGACAAAGATATATCATAGAATTAACATATAGATATATCATTAAATTATTGGTCCTATTTCTTTTAATAGTTATTCTTTATCGTAAACAAATTGCGTCAGTTAATACACATGACTCCCAGATTTATTATATAAAACAAATTGCATATGAGCAATTATAGTCATAATATAATAGAAATACAATTGTGAAATTTTACTTTCAAATCTTATGATATCTATTTTGTACTAATACTTAATTGGTTAAAATTCAATTTGCGTATATGGTATGATAGATTTACGACACATTTACGAAGTAATAAAATAATATAATAACATCACTTATAAAAAATTGTAAAATTGTAAAATTTGTCAATTATACATATAATCATATAATTAGATGTGATATAATTGCTATCGTTTACGTAATTGTATATATTCAAACACGTTTAAATTGAAAGTGCAAAAAAAACTTACATACAAGATGTCGTATTAATAGTATAATCAAAACTAATGATATAATAGAAAATGTAATAATATTATATGCAAAAATAAGTTAGGAAAGTAGAATAAAATTTTCTCAAAATATGATTATTAAAATTGAAAAGTTAATAGCATAACAAAAGTTACATACAAAAGTTAATAACATACAAAAGTTAATCATATATTTTTAAGAATTTAAATGGTTTTTAAAAATTTTCTATTACACGTAAATTTATATTGATAATCATAAAATATGTATAAGTTAATATATACGAATACACAACACAATTTCTCTCGAAAAAGTGGAATTTATATGAAAATTTTACATACAATATTATAATTTTATATATAATATTTCTTCAACGTGTAATTTAATTTTAATTTATATTATATTATTAAATTAATTTGTGTTATATTAATAATCGCTGCCGAAATAAATTTAATATTATATAACAGATTATATAAAATTTATAAATATTAATTTTTATATAATTAATTTATAATTATAATTTGAATTATAATTAATTATAATTAATTATATAATTAATAAATATATAAAACTATTATATATTTATTAATTATGTAATTAATTATAATTAATTATATATTAATTATATAATAGTTTTATATATTTATTAATTTTCTACATTTTTATAATTTTATAATATTATTCTACTATTTTAACTTTATAAAAAAAATTATTTCAGATTCTTTTACGACTTATTTTTCCACTTATTTTTTCATATAGAATCATTATCCTAAATGTATCACTTATAGACATCTCGATTATACTATTATAGATATCCTATATTAAGCATTTTAAATCATCAGCAAACGACTGTTTTTTTTTTTCAAATCATTATGCCTCTATATAATATTAATGCTTACATAATGGTAAGCATTAATATTACCTATCAACGAAATCTCCGATAGGTTACGAAGAAACAAGTAAAATCATCGAATTCAATTTGTTACATCGTAAAAGATTCTGTTTAAATACATTTTATTATTTTAAAAAGATATTAAAATATTATTTTGTTACAATATGTAACAATATATCTTATCTAATTTCTTATGTATAAATTTCAAGAAAAAATCGATTATTATCAGCAAAATCTGATTTCCAATTTGATAAACGCAATTGTTTATGTATTATAATCATTAAGTTATTTTAGATTAAAATTTATATCCAAAAACTCGAAATCTAGATATGCAACCATCCGGTTTAATTGAAAGTTTCACATAAGCCATTTTCATATTTTGATGTTGAACAGTAATTTCTTGCTTAGAACCTTCATTCACCTATAAAATATATCACAATATTTGATTTTTATGCTCCCCTGTCTAAACCTTATGTGCGTTTATAAAATAAGCAAAATTTATTTTCGCAATACAATATTAAATTGAGACAGTAGAATAAAAAAAAGTGATCGTGTACTTGTATGAGAAAATCGATCAAATTTATTAAATATTAAATCAAACTTACGAGGGTATACGGTATAATATTCTGCCATGGTTTATTATTTATATCAGTTGTATCATCAATTTTGGTAAGTCCCTGCACCCGCACAACGTACGGACTATCCCCTTCGTAGCATGTTGTATCGAGCATGATATTAACAATTTTACCACTATAACCCAATTGAAATATAGCCCATTCTTCGCCGATTATCTAAATTCATAACATAAAAATTGTTTTAAACTTATTATCAATTGTAACACATTATAACATAAACAATATACATATACAAAAGCGGCACGTTGTGAAGAAAAACTATTTGTTATATTTTTGAGACGATATTGAAATTAATGTAAAATGAACATTGTATCATAAGGAAAGATAGTTTTCAGTTACAATTTCAGTATTATTACTTTTGCTATTTTCTATGTACCTTATTGAAGTCAGATATATCTGGATTATCTGAGAAGTCTTCTGTAGATCTAATAAGACTTCTCGCAGTTTGCCATCCATCCTTAATGTTAATACTTTTTGAAGGCTTGATCAAGTTATTAGGATGCGTATTGTTATAACTACTACTATATGCTATACAATTACCACCATAAATCTGCGAAACAAGATCGATAAGAGGATTTTGAGGTGATGATCGGATTGGATTGGGCTCCACTTTTCCGTAAACACGTAGTCTACTTATACCCCCGTCTGGATAGATATTGAGTCGCAGATGAGTGCAATCTCTTCCTATTGATGATATCTTAAAAAACTTCTTATTCTTCGATGAATAACCAGGATCTAAAGGTTGTTGTGAGATTAAATATGGCCATTCCTAAAATCACGTTTAATAATCATTAATTGTGTATCAATATATAAAATTATCGAGAAAGGAATAATTCCTCGCAAAAATATTCTCGCAGAAAATATAATACATTAGGGAAAAATTATATAATTATCTACATAAAACTTAACAAGCCATGTTTTTCTTCATTGATGTATTATTTTTATACAATTTTCATAAAAATTGATTTAATAATGATATATAAAAATATATAAAATCCTTTAATGATACAATTTTTACAATATTTTATAATATACAATATTCATTGATAAATAACCAAAATTCAGATTTAGCGATACGATAAATGTAACCAATTGTAAAGTATGATATTTGTTAATTATTAATTGTGCATCTTATGTAATAAAATCATCGAAAAAGAGACAATTCCTCGTATATAGGAAATGTGATGCTTTAAAAAAGTCATATTGTTATCCATAAGAAATTAGATAACAATAAATTGAAATATTTTTCTTCGTTCGTATATTGTTATTATAATATTTACAATAAAAAATAAAAATTTATTGCAGAAATCAAGAGGTTAAATAGCTCTATATGTGAAAACATTTTGACTTTTGTGGCTATAAGAACTAGATACGTGAAAATAGAAAGAGAGAAAGAGAGAGAGAGAGACAGAGAGAGAGAGAGAGAGAGAGAGAGAGAGAGAGAGAGAGAGAGAGAGAGAGAGAGAAGATCAATTTCACATATATACACATACAAAAAATTAATTTTTCTCTGATTAATGTGCATGGGGCATTTTTTTTATTCATATATTTAGCGTAAATATCAATTCAACAGTTTTTAATAAATTCTTTTTTCCTCGTAAAGAAACAGCAAGCGAAAGATTTAAATAAATTGATAAATAATACGGCTCTATGTATTTAACAACATGATAATTAAGAAACGAGCAATAAGAGCCTAAAAAACGCGATGGTAATGCGTAAATTTTTTATGCGAAAGATTTAAGTTCGATTACCCATTCAACAATTATGCTCTAATATTTTTTTCGCTTATGCTTCTTCAGGAATTCATTAAAAATTGAATTGAAATATATTCACACCTGACACCTACATAGACCAAGAAAAATTCGTGTCCAGTACACATTAATTAGAGAAAAATTAATTTTCGATGAAATGCATGAAAACGCATTATCATTTTGTATCTGATATTAGCTGCGAAATACAAGTTTATGACTTAAAAATGTTAAATATATAAAATGCTTTAATAATGTAATTTTCAGAATATTTAATAATAATAAAATTTTTGTAAAACCTTTGATTCAAGTTTGTTAATTTTTATCCATTCAGCCCTGGTAGCACGTCTGCCTACGCTAAGAGGAGTGGCTTCATTGAAACGTTTTTGATAAATAGGAAGTTCTGTGCATAATAAAAAATACATTAATACACATACACACATGCACGCACACGTACACGCATATGCATAAACACACACACACACACACACACACACATACACACACACACATATACATATACATACATACATATGTACAATTAAAAATAAGAGATTAATATCAAGTATTTTAAAAAACAAAAAAGAGAAAAGAAAGAAAGGAAATGCATGGTACAAAATTATTCCTATCAAACCTCTTGAACATAAATTGAGGGCTTGTACAGAAAATTGAAGCGCAACATTGGAGCTGACAAGAGAAGTGGTATCTACGCAAATGAATTGTACTATAGTTCTTGCTGCTAATTGAATGATCACGAATTGGGGAATTTGCTCTCTAAGTCTTCTGGTTACCCATGCATCCAGTGCTATATTTAAATTGTCCTTAATTGGTTCACTCTGCTAAAATGAATATTATATATAAAATATATATATATTGAAATATTATTTATTTAATTATATATTTTTCTGCACATGTTTTCTATATATTCAATCATTGTAATTATATTTAAATATTACTTAAATATAACTATTACTTGTAAATGTAATTTTTTTTAATATTTAAGTAAAAATACTTGAATATAATACTTAAATATAGTTAAATAAATATAGTTAATTATTAAATAATAATTAACTATAGTTTTAATTATTAAATAATAATTAACTATAGTTTTAATTATTAAATAATAATTAAATATAGTTAATTATTAAATAATTATTAAATATAGTTAAATTTTTTTAAATATTTAAGTAAAAATACTTGAATATAATACTTAAATATAGTTAAATATAAATATTTAATATATTTAAATATACTTAAATATACTTAAAAACATTTCTTTTGTAACTATGTTTTATATATAGTTTACATATAATCTTTCAATTTTGCAATACTTAAATAATAAATACTTTTTTACTATACTGAAAAAATATATATTTCTACAATTATCTACAAAACAAATCGATATTTAAATGTAAAGATATCAGATCGGATCATTAATGTATCCCAAATAAGAAATGGTATAATCTAATTATTATACATTTTTTATAATTATCTCCAACGTAATCACTTACTTGAAGTAGATTTTCAGCTACACCGAAAAAATCATCAGATGCAAATAAAATTAATGCCCCATTCTGAAATTCACACATACAATGGATTGTCATATACTTTTTCTTACGGTTGTGACTTAAAAAAGGTTTACGGTTTACTTAAAAAAGTAACATATAAATATAAAAATATACTAAATTATTGCAAAAAATATCGATGCAGAAAATAAGAGAGAACAATAATTTTAAAAAATTAAAAGGAGAAAAATATATTTAAATCTCAATATGAAACAATATGACCAGTAATATAGACAAAATGCGTTATTATAAGATAAATGTAATATATAATTTTCTGTATAAAATATAATTTAGAGAGAGGAATAAGGTTTAAAGCAAATTATTATTAAAATTTAAAACTATATATATAAATATATATATGTGTGTGTGTGTGTGTGTGTGTGTGTGTGTGTACGCACACACACACACACATACATACACACATATATTGTTGTGTTAAAATCTAAAAGTAATATAAAAAACATTCCTAACATATATATTGAATTCTTATATTTCTATTAGTACAAAACCTTTAAGAAGTTACTACATTCACCCAAACAGCATATTTGGCTTGTGTTATCTATTTATCATATTACATTATAAAAAGAAATTACTGTTTGGGATGACACTTCGCACAATTCTGTTATGTTTATCCCTGATGAGATATTCCTATGAGATCCCTGCATAGTTCTGACTGCAATGCAAAAAAACGTATTATTTTCAGATAAAATATAAGATAAGTTTACATCAAATGTTTAAGATAATATCTAGTATTTTCGAAATATATTCTATATCATGTAATAAATATTAATAGACAAATACATGCTAGTATATTAATATATACACAAGCATTAATATACACAATCAGCGCTAATAATCATATATAATAATATTACATTTTTTAATCGATGAAATTTTGATGAAAATTTATTTCGATATCTTAAAACTTAATAATACATCCAAAATAATGTAAATCATTAATAATAATTAATTATAGCTAATTAATATATTCTGTAAATCATTGTAGGTACATAATAATATTCGTATTATAAAATTGTTATATGTAAAATATATTCAAAATTATTTAAAAAACAATATTTGTCCAAATAATAACTGTCCAAAACAACACTTTTGCATTGCTGTTTCTCGATTTAAATATATATTTGTTCTTATCTGTTCTTACACATATTTCCAATCAATGCTTTAAATCAACTAAAATCTTCTTACATACTTCCAATCAATGCTTTAAATCAACTAAAATCTTCTTACATACTTCCAATCAATGCTTTAAATCAACTAAAATTTTAAACCCTCTATGGTACATACAATGTCAGATAAATTCGTTACTGTAAATAAACAGTAGTAACATTTATAAAAGAATATAAGAAAATTCAACTTTATTTGAGTCGCTTGTTGATATTTACTTTTGGTAATTTTATGATTATAAGCTATGTTCCTTCGCTTTTATGCATGATGATTATAGAGGTTCTATTACAAGTGCAATTAAATTTGTCACAATTTTTACGCATACTTGTTACATTTGTAATAAAACCTCGCACATATTTAAAAAAAATTATTAATTTATAACTACGTTTATTTAATTATGCACATAACTAAATTTATTTATAATGAAATAGAAGGATTATATCATATACATTTTTAATACATTTATTAACAGTTTATTATTTTTTTTAACAAATTTATTCTTAATTTTAAAGAAATTGCATCAATTAATAAACACAAATCCCACAGATTTATTATATAAAATAAATTGCTATATATAGAAACAATTGCAGTCATGATTATCACAATTATGGAATTTTATGTCAAATTTGATATCTATTTTGTATATTATTGATACCTGAGTGGTAGGAGTCAATTTGCATAAGTAATAGGAGACAATTTGCATAAGTAATGTGATAGATTTACATCTACAAGATAACAAAATAATATAATAACATTTATAAAAAGTTGATTGAAAATAATAAAGTTTATTGATTATGCATAAAATTATCTGATTGGATATGATATAATTGCTATCGTTTATATAATTACACAATATTCAGACATGTTTAAGTAGAAATTGCAAGAAGGCCTCACATATAAGATTTCTCAATGGTATAATTAAAACTAATGATATAATAAGAAAAGTGTGATTCTATAATATAAGTTGGGAAACTAGAATAAAATTTTTGATTGAAATAAAATAAAAGATTTGTATCCAATCAAGTGCAATCTCCGATCATATTGTATATTAATTTAAAGGATAAATAAACCGCGGCCCATTATCCGCTTATATTTCGGAAATTACATTTCATCTGATAAAGACATTTATTATTTCATCGGATAGTCCAAGATCCATTCAAAACCGATCGGATAAAGTTCGAACGGTTTTTTCCGATTAGAACTGCTGGATATTTTTTTCAGTGTACTCTTTAATAAACAACGACGGCTAAAATCTTTGGAATGTTATTCAGGACGATGATCTTAACAACATATGTCAAGATCAAAGTCATACGAGCAACCCCTTTTATGCAAGTTTACCCTTTTAGCATGCGACGACAAACTTTATTTAAAGATTCCAATTCTCGTTTCTGCAACTTTTCGGAGATATCATTGATACGTAATGAAAAACATTGATGGCTCCTATCGTTATATATACGAGACATAATGGAAAATCAAATTATTTTCTGATGACGCAAAATACTACATACAATTTGGGTACGATAGGAGCCATCAATGTTTTTCATTACGTATCAACGATATCCCCGAAAGGTTGCAGAAACGAGAATCGGAATCTTTGAATTAAGCTTGTCGCATGCTAAAAGATTCCCTTTAATTTTATTATATTTGATGTAAATATTATTTTGATCGAGATTAAAATATTATTTGTTACAACAGCGTAACAGTATTATCTTATCTAATTTCTTTTATCTAAATTTCAGAAAAGATGATTAAAAGTAATATCGGCTTTCCATTTTGATAAATGCGATTGTTTATGTATTATCATCATCAAATTAGTCTAAATTTTGCATTTCTATTAAATCACTCCTAAAACTCGGAATCTAGATACGCAGCCATCCGGTTTAATCGTAAGTTTCACATAAGCCATTCTTATGTTTTGATGTTCATTTCCAATAATAAGTTGTTGGCTAGAACCTTCATTCACCTATAAAATATATATCACAATTAATATATTTGATTAGGATCCGTTTATGTTTAAATCTTATATGTATTTGTAAAGTAAGTTAAATTTATTTTCGCAATGGAATATTAAATTGAGACAGTAGAATAAAAAAAAAATTGATAAGTATATGAGAAGTTCGATTAAATTTCCCAAAATATTAAATATTAGTTCAAACTTACGATGGTAAACGGTACAATATCCAACCATGGTTTATTACATATATCAGTTCTATCACTTATTATAATGCCTTCTCTAAGTCCCTGTACTCGTACAATGTACGGACTGTTCCCTTTGAAGCCTACTGTATTTATTAAAATAGCAGTAATTTTACCATTATATCCTAATTGAAATATAGCCCATTCTTCCCCGATTATCTAAAATTCATAACGCAAAAATTGTTTTATAATTGTTGCAATATATACGAAAACAGCACTTTATTAGAAAACATCATTTTCCACATTTTTCAAACGATATAGAAATTAATATAAAATGAATATTGTATTATGAGGATTGATAGTTTTCAGTTACAATTTTAGATTATTACTTTTTGTAGATTTTATATACCTGATTGAATCGAGTTCGAATAGGAGGACGTGGGAAGCCTGCAGTGGATCTCATAAAATTTCTCATAGTTTGCCATCCGTCTTTCTTGCTAATACTGTATGTAGGCTTGATCAAGTTATTAGGATGTGTATTGTTATAACAACTACTATATGCTATACAATTACCACCATAAATCTTTGAAACAAGATCAATAGTAGATTCTCGATCTGGTGACACGGGAATGGATCCCAACACTTTTCCGTAAACACGTAGTCTACTTATACCCCCGTCTGGATAGATATTGAGCTTCAGATGAGTGTAATCCTGTCCTGTCGATGGTATTATAAAAAACTTCTTATTCATTGATGGATAACCGGGATTTAAAGGTTGCCATGAGATTAATAGCGGCCATCTCTAAAATTACATTTAATAATCATTGTGCATCATATAATAACATTATCGAGATATGAGTGATTCCTCACAGAAATCTTGTAGCAAATATGATACATTTAAAAAAAAATTAATATAAAAATTTATATATAATTATATATATAAAGTTGCAATAAATTGCCATGTTTTCCTTCGTTGATATAATATTTTTAACATTTCCAATCAAAAATAAAAATTGATTTAAGAATGATATACATATAAAAATATATAATATGTAAAATATATATACACTGTAAATATTAAATACAATTATTTATAGTATTATAATATTTATTGATGAATAATTGAAATTCAAATTTAGCATTACGCTCACACACACAAATGTAATCAGTTATGAAATGTGATATTTGTTAAATATTAATTGTGCATCTTATACATAGCAAAATCATCGAGAAAAGAGACGGTTTCTTATACATAGAAAGTGTCATACGCGTTTGGAAAAGTCATAAATCCATCAAATGTTAGGTAACAATAAATTGAAATGTTTTCCTTCGTTCATATATTATTATTAATACGTTCAATAAAAAACAGGAATTAATTTTAGAAGTCAGGAGTTTATATAGCTCTATATGTGAAAGCGTATATTTGAATTTTTCGGCTATAAGAACTAGATGTGGGATAATAGAAAGAGAAAAGAGAGAGAGCGAGAGAGAGAAAGAGAGAGAGAGAGAGAGAGAGAGAGAGAGAGAGAGTTTTTCATGCATGCACACACATGGAAAATTAATTTTTTTCTAAAACTGATTAATGTGCACGGAATATGAGCTTTTCGTAATCCATATATTAACCATAAATATTAATTCGAGATTTTTAATAAGCTTTTTTCTGGAAGAAATGGCAAATGAAAGATTCGGGTTCGATTTTAGATTCAATGTTTTCGCCCTGATATATTTTCGCCTACGTTTCTTCAGGAGTTTATTAAAAATCCCGAATTAAAATATATTCATATTATAGACCAAGAAAAATTTGTATTCTGTGCACATTACTCAGAAACAAATTAATTTTCGGTTAAATTAACGCATTATCATCTCGCATTTTAGTCGAGAAATATAAATTTGTGACTCAAAAATATTAAATATATAAAATGTAATTTTCATAATATTTAATAATAATAAAATTCATATTTGTAAACCTGTGAGTTAAATCCTGCAATACGCAACCATTCCTCGAGGTTAGCATGTGTGCCTATTCTATTAAAACGATTTTGATAAACCTCATCACCTGTGTACAATAAAAAATATATTAATATATACATATATCTATTGATATTTACATATGTATGTGTGTATGTGTGTTTGTGTGTGTACACATATATGTATATACATAACAAGTACAATTGAAGATAAGAGATTAATATCAAATTTCTTATAAAAATAAAAGAAAGAAAAAGAAAGATAGAAAGAAAAGAATCGAAATGCGGACTATTCTTAACAAACCTGTTACAAGTGATTTAGCTTGCACAGAAAATAGTAACGCAACATCCCCGACAAGAGAAGCAGTATCTATGCAAATGAAATGTATTTCAGCTCTTGCTGCTAATTGAATAATCACAAAATTGCACATTCCGTGTCGTACTCTTCTGGTTAACCATGCATCCGGTTTAAATGTTACATTTACTGTGTTTATATTTGGTTCTCTTTCCTAAAATGAAAAATGACTATGCGTATGTAACTGTAACTATATTTTATATATAATTTAAATATAAATGTACAATTTTACAAAATTCAAATAATAAATTTTTACTATAAAAAAATATATTTCTTCAATTATCTATTACAAAACAAATCTATTTTTTAATGTAAATATACTGGATCTGATCTTTAACGTATCAGACATAAGAAATTTTATAATTATTACATTTTTTACAATTACGTACAATGTAGTCACTTACTTTAATTAGATTTTCAGCTACACCGAATGAGTCATCCGTTGAAAAAAAAATTTTTGCTCCATTCTAAAATTTACACACACAATAGTTGTAATAAAAATTTTCTTACAATTGAATAAAAAAATAATATATTTTATATAACATAAATATATATTAAATTATTTCAAAAAATGTTGTTGTAAGAAATAAGAGAAAAAATAATTTTAAAAAATTAAAAGGAGACAGAAATATAATTAGCGATAATAATTTGTAAGTATTTAAATTTCAGCATGAATTGCCAATATACTAGACAAAGCGTGCTATATTAAAATAAATAATTTTCTATAAAAGTCCAAAGATTGAATATAACTTAGGAATAAGCTTTATGTTTAAAGCGAATGATTAATGAAATTGAAATTTAAAACTATATATATATATATATATATATATATATATATATATATACATGTATATATACAGAGTATATTATATATATTGCTACTATTTTGCTAAATTCTGAAAAGATAACATCAAAATATTCTTAACTTGTATTGAATTTTGTATTTCTATTAGCACATAATTTTTAACAAGAAGTAATTTTTAACACGAAGAATTATATTCGCACAAACAGCGTATTTGGCTTGTGTTATCTATTTATCATATTACATTATAAAAAGAAATTATTACATTACAAAATAAAAAGAAATTACTGTTTCGGATGATAATTCGCACAATTCTGTTACATCCATCTTCTTGAGATCCCAGTATAGTTCCGACTGCGATTCAAAAAATGTATTACTTTTAAATAAGATTACATCGAATATTTAAGATAATATCTAATATTTTCAAAGTATATTCTATATCATATAATGAATATTGATAGACAAATATATATTAGCATATTAATATATACACCATCAGCGCTAATAATCACTTATAATAATATAACAGAACATTTTTTTTTAATCAATGAAATTCTGATGAAAGTTTATTCCAATATCTTCAAACTTAAGTATATCCAAAATAATGTATCAATAATAATAATTAATTATAGTTAATTTTATAGTGAAGCTAAATTATTATATTCTGTAAATTCTTGTACATAGTAACACTTGCATTGTAAAATCGTTACGCAAAATGATCAAAATTATTTAAAAAACACTGTCCAAAAAACAATAATTTTGTTTAAATGGTTTCCAATTTAAATACATATTCTTACCTATTTTCACAAATATTTCCAATGCTTTCAATCAACTAAAATTTTAAATCCTCAGATGTAAAAGCCTACATATGTCAGATAAATTCGTTACTGTAAATAAACACAGTAATAACGTTTATGACACATTATAAGAACTTTATATGAGTGGCTTGTTGATATTTACTTTCGATAATTTTATAATCATGATAAAGCTATGTGTGTTTGCTATGTGTGATGCTTACAGATTCTATTGCAAATGCTACTAAATTTGTCACAATTTTTACGCATACTTCTTACATTTGTAACGAATTATCGCACATATTTAATATTTATTAATTTATAACTATGTTTATTTAATGCTCCACAAAACTGAATTTATTTAGAATGAAAATCAAAGGATTATATCATATTTACGCTTTTAATAAATTTATTAACAGTTTATTATTTCTCTTCACAAATTTATTCTTAATTTTATAGAAATTGCGTCAATTAATAAATATAAATCGCAAAGATATATTATATAAAATAAATTGTTATATAGAACAATTGCAGTCATAATCATCACAATTATGGAATTTTAACTTCAAATCTGATATCTATTTTGTATAACGATATCTCAATGGTTGGAATACAATTTGCATAAGTGATATGATAAATTTACATCTAGAAGATAACAAAATAATATAATCGAATAACATTTATAAAAAGTTGATTAAAAATAATAAAATTCATCGCTTATACGTAAAATTATTTGACTGGATGTGATATAATTTTTATCATTTATATAATTATACGATATTCAGATGCTTAAGTAGACAGTGCTAGATGGACCTACATATAAGATGTCTCAATGGTATAATTAAAACTAATGATAATAAGACAAATAATTTCTGTATGAAAAAATTCTGTATGAAAAAATAAGTTGGCAAGCTAGAATAAAATTTCTTCGCAGGAGATTTTATTTTCGAGAAAAGTGGCGATTCAAATTGAAAAGTTAGTAAAAGTTAATAACATATAAAAGTTACTAATATACAAAAGTTGATGACATATTACGTATTTTTAAGAGTTTAAATAATTTCTAAAAAACATTTATTACCTTTAATTGAACTTATATTGATCATAATCACGAAATATATAACTTAACATACATACGCACAACACCTTTTTTATTGAAAAGTCTATTTGAAAAAGGAATCTATTGAAAACATGTATATAATATTTCATCAGTGTGTAATTTAATTTTATTTTTAATTATATTATTAAATATTTAATTATATATTTAATTAATATATTTAATTAAAATATTTAATTATATATTAAATGAATTTATGTTAGATTAATAATTGTTGCCGAGAAATTAAATTACATTACATAAATACATTATATTACATTATATTAAATACATTATATAACAAAATATCATTAAAAAGATATAAATATTAATTTCTAGATAATTAATTTTTTATAGATATTATTTTCTAAATTTCTAAATCGATTATATAAAAAGAAGTTCTGCACATTCTTATACAATTATTTTTATCATGTAGAATCATCATCTTAACAATTGTACCACTTCAAATTGTATGTAGTATTTTGAGTCATCAGAAAATAATATGATTTTTCAAATCATTGTGCGCTTACACGATAATGAGCATGTATGTTTTTCTCTATGAACAAAAATCTCCAATAAGTCGTAGAAGCGAGAATCTGAATTTTTTAATTAAACTCGTCGTCGCATAGTAAAAAATTCCCTTTACATTTTATTATTTTTGAAAAGATATAAATATTATTTTGATTGAGATTAAAATATTATTTTCTTACAACATTGTAATAATATTATCTTATCTAATTTTTTATATGTAAATTTTAGGAAAGAACTGATGATTATAACTAATATTGACTTCGCATTTTGATAAATGCGATTGTTTATATATTATCATCATCATCAAATATTCTAAATTTAATTATTTTGCATTTCGATTAAATCTCTCCCAAAACTCGGAATCTAGATATGTATCCATTCGGTTTAATTGAAAGTTTCACATAAGCCATTTTCATATTTTGATTTTGAGCTGTAATTTGTTGCATAAAATTTTCAGTCACCTATAAAATATATATTTGAATCCGTTTATGTTCAAATTTTGTATATATTTATAAGACAAAATTTATTTTTGCAATGGAATATTAAATTGAGACAGCAGAACATAAAAAAGTAATCAGAAAGTTTATGAAAAAAATCGATCAAATTTCCTAAAATATTAAGTATTAAATTAAACTTACAAAGGTATACGGTATAATATTCTGCCATGGTGGATTATTTATATCATTTTCATTTAATATATTTAACGTAACGCCTTCTCTAAGTCCTTGCACTCGTACAACGTACGGTTTGTCCCATTGAGAGCAGATTTCAAACTTAATAGAAGCAATTTTACCACTATATCCTAATTGAAATATTGCCCATTCTTCCCCGAACTGAAATTCAAAACATAAAACTCGTCTTACAATTGTCGTTAATTATTAAAACAATATATAAAGCGACACTTTGTTAGGAAAAATTATTTTCCGTATTATTGAAATAATATTGAAATTGAAGTAAAATGAATTTTATATCATAAGGAAACATAGTTTTCAGTTAGAATTTAGATTATTATTTTATGTAGTTTTCTTTATACCTGATTAAAGTTAAATGGTTGAGCGAAATCATCAATTCTAAAACGACTTCTTGCAGTTTGCCATCCGTCCTGCATGGCAAGACTTGCTCCAGGCTTGATCATATTGTTAGGGTGTGTATTGTTATAACAACTACTATATGCTATACAATTACCACCATAAATATTCGAAACAAGATCAATAAGCCAATTTTGAGATGGCATATGTATGGGTCTCAATACTTTTCCGTAAACACTTAGTCTACTTATACCCCCGTCGGGAAAGATATTGAGTCGCAGATGAGTATAATCTTGTCCTGTCGATGGTATCATAAAAAACTTCTTACTCATTGATGGATAACCGGAATTTAGAGTTTGCCATGAGATTAAATACGGCCATGTCTAAGGTCACATTTAATAATCATTAATTGTGCATTATATATAATTAGATTATCGAGAAATGAATGATTCCTTGTAGAAATATTTTGTAGAAAATATGATTACTTTAAAAAAAATTATATAATTATCTATATAAAATTGCATAACAATAAATTGCCATGTTTTTCTTTGTTAATATATTATTTTTAATATTTTAAATCAAAAATAAAAATTGATACAAGATGTTATACATACAAAAATATATAAAACGTTTTAGTAATGCACATTTTTACAAGATTTTAGACTACTTATTGGTGAATAATTGGAATTCATATTTAGCGGTACAATCAATGTAATCAGTTGAAATGATATTTGTTAATTATTGATTATGTATCATACATAGCAAATTATCGAGAAAAAAGGCGATTTCCTGTATATAGAAAATGTGATATACGTTTAGAAAAGTTTCATATATCTATAAAAAGTTGAATAATAATAAACTGGAATGTTTTCTTTTATTTTTAATACATCCAATAAAAAATAAAAATTCTTTTCAGAAATCTAGAGATTAAATGGCTTTATATATGTAAACATAAATTTATATTTTGCGGCTTAGAAAAGCCAGATACGAAAGAGGAGGGGGGAAGAGAGAGAGAGAATGCGTCAATTTGACATACATACATACACATCAAAAATTAATTTTTTTCTAAAAAAATCTGATTAAATACATAGAACATAAATTTCTCTTGATCCAAATACTATTTCAATTCAAAATTTTTAATAAATTCCTCTTTATTTCCCTGAAGAAATGACAAGTGAAAGATTTCAGTTTCAGGTTCGATTTAATGATTTCGCCTCTATATATATCCCACCAACGCTTCTTCAAGGATTCACTAAAAATCTCAAATTGAAATATATTCATATATAAATATAGAGATCAAGAAAAATTCGTATTCGCATATTAATCAGAGAATACATCAAAGAGAAATTAATTTTTGATAAAATTGACGCAATATCATCTCGTATTTTAACGATATACAAATTTATGATTAAAAAATATTAAACATATAAAATGTTTTAATAATTTTTATAATATTTGAATATAATTAAATTTCAATTTGTGAAACCTCTGAATAAAGGTGCCTAATATGCGGCTCTACGTTGGTGATAGGTCTGCCCCTTCTATTGAAACGATCTTGATACTCCTCGAGAGTGTCAACATCTGTACATAATAAAAAAAAAGAAATATATATATATATATATATATATTTCTTCTTTTTTAATTATATATATATATATATATATATATATATATATATATATATATACATAAATTATAAGTACAATTAAAAAACAAAAGGTTAAAATCAAATATTTTAAAAATAAGGGAAAGAAAAAAAAGAAAAAAATAAGCGGGAGCTACAAAATTATTGCTAACAAACCTGTTGTTAATAATTGGGAGGCTTGTACAGAAAATTGGACCGGAATATTGCCAGTAAGATAAATAGTATCTACGGAAATGAAATATATTTCAGCTCTTGCTGCTAACTGAATAATTGTAAAATCAGGTTTCCAATTCCTTCGTTTTCTTCTGGTTAACCATGCATCTGGATGACTACATTTAATATTTGGTTCTACCTCCTAAAAAAATGAAAAATCGATAACAATAAGTATATATTAGAATATTGTTCATTCAACTATTTATTTTCCACTACATGTTTTCTATATATTCATTTATTGTAATTATATTTAAATATAATTCTATTTCTTTGAAACTATATTTTATATATAGCTTAAATGTAATTTAACAATTTTACAATACTGAAATAATAAATACTTTTTACTATATTGAAAAAATATGTATTTTTATAATTATTATTGTTAATGTAATGCGAGGATAATTGTGGAAGGATCACTAGAATGATCAATACGCGTTGTTCTTTTTAGACAAAAAAAAAACTTTATTCTTATGACGCTCTTTCTTAAGTCGCTGCAACAAGATTGATCATGCTCGAGTTACCGAACTATATAGGCTTAAGGGTCGTCTACAATGGCCGTAGCATAAGATTGATCATGCTCGAGTTACCGAACTACATAGGCTTAAGGGTCGTCTACAATGGCCGTAACATAAGATTGTAAGGTTGTAAGCGAAATGAACCAAATCCATTTCCTACGGATTTCGTGCGTTCTACGGCGGTCGTGCATACGCAGTCACGGAAAAATTCTGTGTTCTTAATTCTGATTGCGTGTCCGCCGTAGAACATACATAATAGCCGCAGGAAATGAATTTGGTACATTTCGCTTACAACCTTACAACTTTATGCTACGGCCATTGTAGACGACCCTTTATACGCATGCGCTTATGGTACGACACTAGGCTAAACAAAAAGACAAAAGATTATACCGATTTTCGGTTGAACATAGGCGTAACAAACTGCTTTAACAATTACAAAACAAATCAATTGTAAAGATACCGAATCAGATCATTAATATAAGAATGATATAAAAAATTGTATAATCTAATTATTATAATTTTTACAATTACCTCCAACGTAATCACTTACATTAATTAGATTTTCAGCTATACCAAAAAAATCATCGGTTGAAAATAAAATTCTTGCTCCATTCTAAAATTCACATATATATATATTTTTATATAAATTTTCTAACGATTGATTGCAAGAAATTATGTATTTTATGAACATAAGAATACATTAATTAATTGCAAAAAATATTGATGTAAAAAATAAAGAGAAAAATAATTTAAAGAAAAGAGAAAAATTATAATTTAAAAGGTAAAAAAATCTACGGTAATTATTTATATTTAAGTATAAAACAATATAAAATCAAAATAGTATAAAATGCGTTGTTGTTGAGATAAATATATATTTTTCTAAATATAAAATATGTATAAAAGTTCAAGTATATAAAATATGTATAAAAGTTCAAGTACTTAATATAAGGCATAATCTTTCTTGTTTAAAGATTAGTTATTATTTGACTTTACAACTATATATATCGCTATTATATTTATTGAATGTACAAAAATAACATTAAAACATTTTCCCAATACATATTGAATTTTTATGCTTCTATTAGCATAAAATTTTAACATGAAATTACTATATCAAATCAAACAGCATGTTTGTGTTATCTGTTTCAAATTGTTATATTAAAAAATAGAAATTACTGATTCCGATGACAATTCACACAATTCAATTGTGTTATCCATTTTAGGTTTCTTGAAATGGTCTTCTGCACGATTCCGACTGCAATGCAAAAAATGCGTATTATTTTTAGATAAAAATACAATCGCGCGCGTTTAAAAAAGTATTTAATATTTCCAAATATTTTCCATATCATGATGAATACATATCATACTGATAGAATAGATAAATATACATTAACATATCAATATAAAAACAATCATCGCCAATATATAATCATATATATAATACTTTAATAAAATTTTTTTTAATTGATATAATTTTACTTAAAATTTATTCGGATATCTTAAAACTTAATAATATGTCCGAAATAAAGATTTATTAATAACAATTTATTATTATAATGCTAAAGAAAAAATTATTATATTCTATAAGATTATCTTCTAAGACTTCTTAAAGACTATTATATTCTGTAAATCGTTGTATATAATAACACTTGTATTATAAAATCATTATATGTAAAATATTCATAATTATTTCAAAAACACTGTCCAAGAATAATAATTTAGCTTAGATGTTTCTCCATTTAAATATACATATTTATTCTTACCTGTTCTCTTAAATACTTCCAATGAATGCTTTAAATCAACTAAAATTTAAAAATTTTAAACTTTAGTAAGGCATACAATGTCAGATAAATTCGCTACTGTACACAAATAAGTAATAGCGTTTATGATACAATATAATAAAATTGAACTTTATATGTATCGCTTGTTGATATTTATTTTTTGTAATTTTCTGATAAAGCTATGTTTCTTTGCTTTTTTGTGTGACGCTTATAAAGGTTCTATTATAAATGTCGCAATTTTTACACATTTTTACTTGTTACATTTGCATTAAATTGTCGCACATATTTAAAAAGGAATTATTAATTTACAACGTTTATTTAATTTTCTATATAACTGAATTTATTTAGAGCAAAGGTGGCAGAGTTATATCACATATACTTTTAATAATTTTATTAACAGTTTATTATTTCTTTCAACAAGTTTATTGCTAATATTAAAAGAAATTAATTGCGTCAATTAATAAATCGCACGGATTTATTATAAGAAATAAATTGCTATATATAGAACAATTGCAGTCATGATAGCATCATAATTATGAAATTTTACTTCAAATCTTATAATACCTATTTCTGTGTATCAATATCTGATTAGTTAGAATACAGTTTGCATAAATAATATGATAGATTTACAAGATAACAAAAAATATAATATAACAACATTTATAAAAAGTTTATTGAAAAAAAGTTTATTGAAAATTTGTCGATTACATAAAATTCTTTGATTGGATATGATATAATTGCTATCTTTTATGTAATTATACGACATTTAGTTTAAGTTAAAAATGCAAGAAGACTTTACATATAAAATGTCTCATTAATGTATGATAATTAAAACTAATGATAATAAAAACAAATGATAATAAGAAAAGTAACGATTCTATGAAAAAATAAGTTGGGAAGCTAGAATAAAATTTTTTCACAACATATTTTATTATTTTTGAGAAAATTGACTATAAAAATTAAAAAATTAATAAAAGTTAATAACATATAAAAATTAATGACATATTAAGTATTTTTAAGAGTTTAAATGATTTCTAAAATTTTTTTCTATTACACATAATTATATTGACACATTTATATTGACAATAATCACAAAATATGTATAAGCTAATGCATATGACATTTTCTCTATCGAGAAAATGGAATTTATTTGAAAATTTTATATGCAATATTTCTTCAATGTGTAATTTAATTTTAATGTAAATTATATTACTAAATATTATATTATATTATTAAATAGATTTGTGTTAATAACCGTTGCTAAAATAAATTCAATGTTATCTAACAAAAGATCATTAAAATGATATAAATATTAATATTATAGTTAAGTTTTTGTAATTATTGATTTTCTAAATTTTTAAATCAATTTTATAAAAAAAAGTTTCCCACATTTTTATACAACTTATTTTCTTTATGTAGAATCATTATCCTGAATGATTATATCACTACAGACTGTATTTTGCATCATCAGGAAATGATGTTTCTTTCAAATCATTATGCCTCGCATACATAACGATGGAAGCATCAATTTTTCGTTATAAATATTTCATCAAACTTACGAGGGTATACGGTATAATATCTTGCCATAGTGCATTATTTATAATATTTTCATTTAATACATTTAACGTAGCGCCTTCTCTAAGTCCCTGCACTCGTACGGACTATCCCCTTTGAAGCCTGTTGTATCGAGCTCGATAGAAACGATTTTACCACAATATCCTAATATCAACGAAATCTCCGATAGGCCGCAGAAGTGAGAATCGGAATCATTTTAACTTAATCTTGTTGTCGCAAAAAGTAAAAGATTCTCTTTAAATTTTATCTTTAAAAAAAGATATTAGTAATATTTTGATTAAAATTAAAATATTACTTTCCCCATAGCAAAAAAAGTCACAGTGATATCATAATAATATGTCACAATGAGATCATAACAAAGTCATGATGATATATTATATTATATTATATATATATTATATTTATATAATATATTATATTATATAAAAAAAAAATATATATATATATATATAAGTATATATAAGTATATATATATATATATATATATATATATATATATATATAAAAGATCATTTTGTTATATGTGTGTGTGTGTGTAAATCACCTCAAATAACATTTTATTTAATATTACAATGATATCATTATGATATCACTGTGACTTTTTTTGCTATTTGTTACAACACTGTAACAATATTATCTTATCTAATTCCTTATATGTAAATTTCAGGAAAAAATTGTTGATTATAAGTAACATCAGCTTCCCATTTTGATAAACGCTATTGTTTATGTGGTATCATCATCAAATTATTCTAAATTTTGCATTTCTATCAAATCTCTCCCAAAACTCGGAATCCAGTTACGCAGCCATCCGGTTTAATCAAAAGTTTCACATAAGCCATTTTCATATTTTGATCTTGAACAGTAATTTCTTGCTTAGAACCTTCATTCACCTATAAAATATATATTTGATTAAAATCTGATTAATATATTTGATTAGGATCCGTTTATGTTCAACGTTTCCATGTTCAAATCTGATATGTATTTGTAAAATAAACAAAATTTATTTTTGCAATGGAATATTAAATTGAAACATTAGAATAAAAAAAAAATTGATCGGTAAGTGTATGAGAAAATCGATCGAAATTTCCAAAAACATTAAATATTTCATCAAACTTACGAGAGTATACGGTATAATATCTTGCCAAGATGCATTATTTATAGAATTTTCATTTAATACATTTAACGTAGCGCCTTCTCTAAGTCCCTGCACTTGTACAGCGTACGGACTATCCCCTTTGAACCCTGTTGTATCGAGCTCGATAGAAACGATTTTACCACAATATCCTAATTGAAATATAGCCCATTCTTCCCCGATTATCTAATTCATAACGCAAAAATCGTTTTACAATTATAGTCATTTACACAAGCAATACAGACAAAAGCAGCACTTTGTAAGAAAAAACAATTTTTGGAACGATATCATTCATGTAAAATGAATATTGTTTTATAAGAAAAGATAGTTTTTAGTTACAATTTTAGCATTATTACTTTTTTAGTATTGTTACTTTTTGTGATTTTCTATATACCTGATTAAAGTTAAATGAAGAATCATTATGTGGGAAGCCTTCGATAGATCTAATAAGACTTCTCGCAGTTTGCCATCCATCCTGACTAAACATAGGCGTGATCAAGTTATTAGGGTGTGAATTGTTATAACAATTACTATGTGCTATGCATTTACCACCATAAATCTTTGAAACAAGATCAATACAAGAATTCCAAGGTGGTGGCATGAGAGTGGGTCTCAACACTTTTCCGTAAACACGTAGTCTGCTTATACCCCCGTCTGGATAGATGTTGAGCCGTAGATGAGTGTACTCTTGTCCTGTCGATGGTATCATAAATAATTTCTTATTCATCGATGGATAACCGGGATTTAGGGGTTGCCTTGAAATTAAATACGGCCATGTCTAAAATTATATTTAATAATCATTAATTGTGCATTATATAATTAGATTATCGAGAAATGAATGATTCCTCGTAAAATAAAAAAATGTGACATATTTAAAAAATAATTATATAATTATGTATTAAAGTTGCATAACAATAAGCTGCAATAAGTTTTCCCTTGTTGATATATTAGTTTTAACATTTCCAAAAATAAGAATTGATTTTTTTAACATGTAAAAATATATACGCTTTAATAATACAATTTTTATATGTTAAAATATTCATTGATGAATAACCGAAATTCAAATGTACCAGTACGATCAAATGTAACTAGTTGCAAAATGTGATATTTGTTAAATATTAATTGTGCATCTTATATAGCAAAAAGATTGAAAAAAAGAGATGATTCTTTGTACATAGGAAATATGATATGCATTTAGAAAAGTCATGTATCCTTAAAAAGATGGATAACAATGAATAATAATAAATTGAAATTGATGTTTTCTTTCATATATTGTTATTAATACGTCCAATAAAAAATAAAAATTTCCAAAATCAAGAGATTAAATAGCTATATGTGAAAACATATATTTGAATTTTGCGGCTTATAAGAGCTAGACACGGGATAATAGAAAGAGAAAGAAATAGAGAAAGAGAGAGAGAGAGAGAGAGAGAGAGAGAGAGAGAGAGAGAGAGTCGGTCAGTTCCATATATACACATATGGAAAATTAATTTTTCTCTAAAACTGATTAATATGCACTGAACATGAATTTTTTTATCGATATACCAAGCGTAAATATCAATTCAAGATTATTAATATTCCTTATAATTCCTCTTTATCTTCCTGAAGAAAGCGATTTGAGTTCAATTTCCGATTCAATAATTTTGCTCTGATATTTTTTTCGCTTATGCTTCTTCAGAAGTTCATTAAAAATCGAATTAAAATATATTCGCACCCGGTATATAGACCAAGAAAAATTCGTGTCCTGAGCACATTAATCAAAGATAAATAATTTTCAATGAAATTGACTCATTATCATCTTGTATATATTAGCTGCAAAATACAAATTTATGATTCAAACATATTAAACATATGAAATGCTTTAATAATGCAATTTTCATAATATTTATAATTAAATTTATATTTGTAAAACCTCTGAACGAAATTGGTTAATATTCGACCATTCTTCATCGGTGGTATGTCCGCCTACTCTATTGGAACGATTTTGATAAAGCTCGGAATAGTCATGTTCTGTGAATAATAAAAAATATATTAACATATACATATACATATATGTATATATATTTATATACAGAGTGGCCCCAAACGTTCCAGCCAGACTTTGAGATCTTATAGGAAATTTAATTCTGAACAAAAAATTTCCTATAAACATGAGTCGAAAAATACTTCCTTAAGAAGTAGTATAATAGCACGTAATAGTAGAAAATGAATAAAGACGTTTTTCAAGAAATTTATTTAGTTTCATTTTCTTTTTATTTCATTTTTTTTTTCACCTTTTGCTCTTCCTTCAGCAGAGATTTTTGAGCGATAATTTCTTCAGGAAGCATTTTTCGATCCATGTTTATCGGAAATTTTTTGTTCAGAATTAAAATTCCTATAAGATCTCAAAGTCTGGCTGGAACGTTCGGGGTCATCCTGTATATATATATATATATATATATATATATATATATATATATATATATACATATATATATATATATACATATGCAGAAGTACAATTAAAAATAAGTAAATAATATCAAGTTTTTTTACAAAAATAAAAGATAGAAAAAAAATAGAAGAAAAAAAGACGTTCGTTACAAAATTATTCCTAACAAACCTATTGATAAATTGGTAGCTTGTACAGAAAATTTGAGCGCAGCATTGTTGAAAAGATTAGCAGTATCTACACAAATGAAGCATATTTCAGCTCTTACTGCTAATTGAATGATTACGAAATCGCAATTCTGCACTCGTTTTCTCCTGGTTATCCATACATCCTGTGGTAATCGACATGGCATATTTTCTATGTCTATATCTGGTTCTGTTACCTAAAGTAAAAAATCGATGACAATGTTTATATATTTATTGAAATATTGTGTTTATTCATATATTTTTTTGTACATGTTCTATCTTTATCAATCACATTGGTATTATATTTAAATATAATATATTTCATTGTAATTGTATTTTTATATATTTATATATAGTTTAAATATAATTTTACGATTTTATAATACTGAAATAATAAATATTTCTACAATTATCTATTACAAAACAAAACAATTGTTAATATATTATTATATCTGATATAAGAAATTGTATAATCTAATTATTATAATTTTTACAATTACTTGCAATATAATCACTTACTTGAAGTAGATTTTCAGCTACACCGAAAAAATCATCGGATGAAAATAAAATTCTTGCTCCATTCTAAAATTCACACATATAATAGATTGTAATATAAATTTTCAGACCATTGATTACAAAAAATTATGTATTTTTTGAATATAAAAATATATTAAATTATTACAAAAAATATTAATGCAAGAAATAAAGAGAAAAATAATTTAAAGAAAAGAGAAAAATTATAATTTAAAAGGTAAAAAATCATAATTAGCGGTAATTATTTAAATCTAAATATGAAACAATATGATCAAAGCAATATGAAATGCGCTGTTGTTGAAATAGATATATTTTTCTAGAATGTAAAACAATAACATTAAAACGTATTTTAAATACATATTTCATACATATTTATTGAATTTGTATGCTTTTATTAACATAAAATTTTAGCAAGAAATTACTAAAATTGTTAAATATTAAATCAAAGAGCATATTTGGTTTGTATTCTCTCTTAAAAATTGTTATATTAAAAAAAGGAAATTACTGTTTCGGATGACAATTCATATAATTCTGCTGGATTGTTCATTTTAGCCTTTTAATTATCTTGTATTTCGACTGCAATGCAAAAAAATGTATTGTTTTTAGATAATATATAATCGATCATTTAAGAAAATATTTAATATTTCCAAATATTTTTCATATTACAATGAATATTGATAGAATAGATAAATATACATTAACATATTAACATAACGATCAAGAGATAATAATCATATATATATATATATATATATATATATATATATATACATATATATATATATGATTATATATATATATATATATATATATATATATATATATATATCATATAATAGAACTTCTTTTAATTGATAACATTTTAATGAAAATTTATTCCAATATTTTCAAACTTAATAATACGTCCAAAATAAGGAATCATTAATAATAATTAATTATTGTAATGCTAATTATTATATTCTGTAAATCGTACATAATACTACTTCTATCATAAAGTTGTATATGTAAAATGTCTTATATGTAAAATGTTCATAATTATTTCAAAAACATTGTCCAAAAACAATAATTTAGATGTTTCTTGATTTAAATACATTTTTATTCTTACCTGTACTCACAAACACTTCCAATCAATGCTTTAAATCAACTAAAATTTTAAAGTTTTAATAAGAAAAATCTTAATAAGATATATATACAATGTCAGCTTTAGTAAGGCATACAATGTCGGGTAAATTCGTTATTGTAAATAAAATATTGTAAATAAACACAATAATAGCGTTTATGATACAATATAAGGAAATTAAACTTTATGCGAGTGGTGGTATGCGATGGCTTGTTGATATTTACTTTTGATAATTTTATGATCATAATAAAAAAGCTATGTTCCTTCGTCTTTATGTATGACGATTACAGAGGCTCTATCTAAATTAAATTTGACATTCTCTTTCACACATATATTTGCTAAATTTGCATTAAATTTTCGCGTTATATTTAAAAAAGGATTATTATAATTTACAACCATAATTACATTTTTCCCCGCCTAACTGAATTTATTTAGAGTGCGGATATGTGGTATCTTTTTAATAAATTTATCAGCAGTTTATTTCTTTGTTAGTATATTTTCAATTTCAAGCAACTGTGTCAGTAAATATGAATTCACAGATTTATTATATAAAATGGATTTCTATATATAAAACAATTATAGTCTTGATAAAGTCACAAATGTAAAAAATTTTACTTTTAAATGTTATAGAACTTATTTTATGTATGTTAATATTTTATTAATGATAATTTCCATAATTTATAATAATTTTGTATATTTATATTTTATTACATGCAATTTATCCACAAATATAAATAGTTCGACAGATTTATCCACAACATACTGAAATAATATAATAAGTTATCGTTTATTATAAGATGATTTAAAATTATAAAATTATAAAATTAACTAAAATAAATAAATTTAAAATTTATTGTTTACATATAAATATTGTTTATATATATATATATATATATGTAAACAATATTTATATGTACACACATATATATATATACAATATATATATATATATATATATATATATATATATATTAAACAATATTTATATGTAAACAATATATATATATATATACTGTTTATATAAATAAATTTAAAATTTATTATTTATATATAAAATCATTTAATTAGATGCGCTATATAATCGCTATTGTTTGTGAATGGAATCATTCTACTAAACTTGTATATCGTATCGTGAAAAATTCTCTTTAAATTTATTATCATTTTCGAAATGCTAAACTAATTTAAACTATAATATTATTCATTTTAAACTATTATTATAATAATTTTGTTATAATATGCAACATTTTATCTAATTTTTTGTATATAAGTAGCAAGAAAGAATTAATGAGCAGCAATATCTCTTTTCCAGTTGGATAAACGCGATAATTTGTGTTTCATCATTATCGAATTATTCTAAATCAGATTTTCCATTTTTACTAAATATGTTATTATTCCTAAATATGTTATTATTCCATTATTCCTAAATTTCCGGAATTTAATATTCTCGGAATTTTCCTAAAACACGGAATCTAGATATACAGCCATTCGGTTTAATCAAAAGTTTCACATAAGCCATGTTCTTAGTCTGATTTTGCGTAAGAATTAGTTGTTTAGTGCCAACATTCACCTATAAAAAATATCACGATGAATATATTTGATTAGAATTCGTTCATGTTTAATGTTCCAAATTTTACATGTGTTTGTAAAATAAATAAAATTTATTTTTACAATAAAATAATAATTTCAATAAAAGAGTCAACGGCTAAAAAGTGATCTGTAAGTATTTGATCGGTCAAACTTTTTATTAAATCAAACTTACGATAGTACACGGTATAATATTCTGCCATAGTTTATTATTTATATTAGTTGTATCATTTAGACAAACGTCTTCTGTAATCCCTTGCACTTGTACAACGTACGGCTCTTTGCCTACGCAAAATGATGTATCGAGTATGATAGAATCGATTATACTATTATATTTTTTTGAAAGTTGAAATACAGCCCATTCTTCTCCGAGTGTCTAAAAATCATAACGCAAGAATTTTAAAATCATTGTCAATTACACAAGCAATATATATTAAACTGGTACTTTGTAACGAAAAATTATTTTTTTATTTTTTTGGAAGAATTTTGAAATGTAAAATGATAATATTGTATCATAAGAAAAGGTAAATTTCAATTACAATTATAGGATTATTACTTTTGTAATACCTCATCAACGAAGTAATTAAATAAATTTGTAGCACTATTTGAAAAATCTTTAGGGAATCTAATAAGACGTCTCACAGTTTGCCAACCATCTTCATCGTTAATGCTTTCTGAAGGCTTGATCAAGTTATTAGGATGTTTGTTGTTGCAACAACTACTATATGATATACATTTACCACCATAAATCTTGGAGACAAGATCAATCTGCATGTTCAGAGCTGGGGGTATAAAAATGGGTTTCGTCACTTTCCCGTAAACACGTAGTCTACTTATGCCACCATCTGAGAAGACGTTAAGCCGTACATGAGAGTATTCTTCTCCTTTCGACGGTATCATAAAATACTTTTTACTCAACGATGAATAACCAGGATTTAAAGGTTGTCGCGGGATTATCTGTAACCATGACTGAAATCACATTTAATAATTTCATTAATGTTTAGTAAAATTATCGAGAAATGAATGATTCCTAGCAGATATATCTTATAGAAAATGCGATACATTAGAAAAATAGTTATATAATTATCTATATAGTTATCTATAAAGTTGCATAATAAAAAGGTGTCATGTTTTTCTTCGTTGATATGTTATTTTTAATATTTTCAATCAAAAATAAAAATTGCTTCAAGAATTATATATGAAACAACAATATATGAAACGCTTAATAATACAATTTGTGCAATATTTTATAATATAAAAATTTGTATTTTTGAAATATACCTCTGAATTGTACTGCGTAATACATTCCCAGTCTTCGTTGTTGGCAGAATTGTTTAAGTTATGTTTACGTTGAGGAATATCGGGATCTGTACATAATAAATAATATATTAATGTATGTAAAATATATAAATACATCTGTGTACACACACATACACACACAAAATAAAATAAGAAGTATACTTTAAATAAGAAATAAGAATAAGAAATATACTTTAAAATAAGAGATTAAGTCTTTATAAAAATAAAATAGAAAAATACAGAAAAAAAATAAACAAAAAAGAGAAACAGAGGGAAAGAGGGGAGAAGGAGGGAGAAAAATGGAGAGAAAGAGAGAGAGAGAGAGAGAGAGAGAGAGAGAGAGAGAGAGAGAGACCAAGAATGGCTACAGAATTATTTGTAATAAATCAATTAATTAACCTAATAATAATTTGCCAGCTTGTACAGAAAATTCAGGTGCAAAATTGTCGATAAGAAGAGCAGTATCTACACAAATGAAATGTATTTCAGCTCTCGTCGCTAATTTAATAATTACAAAATCATGTTCATAAAATATTTGTTTTTTTCGAGATATCCACGCATCCATAATTTCATATCCATTCACTTTTGATTTCTGTTTTTTAGGTTCAGTCTCCTGAAATAAAAAATTGATGATGATATGTATAATATATATATCTTGAAATATCATATATCCATATCTTGAAATATTATATATCCATATATTTTATTGCACATGTCATCCTTTATATATTTAATCGTTATAAAATTATATTTAATCTATATTTTATAGTTTAAACACAATTTATATAAAAAATTGAAAAAATAAGTATTTTTTTACAGTATTGAAAAAATTAATATTTCTGCTATTATATTGAGATAAAAATATTTAAGTTATTTTATATGCGACTTCTTACTGCTTTTTTCACTTTTTGCATAAACGTGCAGTCGAAATATGGAATTATTTATATAAACAAAAAGGCGTGTTTTTATATGTTATGAAGCAAACCATCATTAAATGTAAATATACTGCATCGGATCATTAATCTGATTGTACAAATATAATTGTTACATTTTTTTACAATACATTCAATATACATTCAATCACTTACTTTAAGTAGATTTTCAGCTAGGCCGAAAGTATCATTGGTTGCAAATATAATTTTGGCACCATTCTAAAATTCAAAAGATCGTCATATTACAATCTATTTTTTGATTAATTAAAAAAAATAATTTTATGAATATATTAAATTACTGCAAAAATGATGATATAAGAAATAGAGAAAAAAATAAATTTTAAAAAATTAAACAAATAAAATTATAAGAATATATATGATTAATGAAAAAAAATCTAAGAATGTATGAGATTATTTAATCAATAATGCAAATTAAATACATTATTGAAACGAATATACGTTTTTCTATACATAAAATCTCAAAGACTTAATATAAACTTGTTTAAAGCGATTTATTTGACTTTAAAATTATATATATTGCTATATTTATAGAATTTAAAAAATATCATACATTCTCAACATATACATATATGTATTGAATTCTTATACTTCTATTAGCATAAAAACTTTCTAGCAAGAAATTAGTACATTCGCTCAACCAGCCTATTTGGCTTGTATTATCTATTAAAAAAAAATTGTTACATTATAAAAAGAAATTACAATTTCAGATGACAATTCACACAATTCTGTTATGTCGTTCATTTTAGACTTTTTTGAGATGAAATTTGAGATTGAATTGAGATTTCTGCACGCTTCTAACTGCAATACAAAAAAGAGCATTGTCTTTAAATAAGATATAATCGATCATTTAAAATAATATCTAATATTTCCGAATATTTTCCAAATCATAATGAATATTGATAGAATAAATAAATATACATTAACACGCATTAAATATATATATATATATATATATATATATATATATATATAATTATCACTAATGTTCATATATAATAATATAACTTTTTTCCTAATCGATGAAATTTTATCGAGAATAGTTTATACTGATATTTTCAAACTAAAAAACCAAAGTAATAGATCATTTTTGTCATTGATAATGATTACTTAGCGTGACGTTAATTATTATATCTTGTAAATCGTTGTGCACAATAACACTTGTATTATAAAATCATTGTACATAAAATATACAAAATTATTTTTCAAAAGTAATACTTTCCCTTTGGATATTTCTCGATTTAAATATATTTACTCTTATCTGTTTTCGCTAACACCTTCAATCGTTGCTTCAAATTAACTGAAATTTTAAGCATTTAATAATGTACACAATGTACACAAGGTCGTTATCATAAATATCTCGAAAAATGATTTTTTAAAAATAATGTTTTGTATATTTTCAATTGCTTCTGTATTTTCAAAAAACACTATTCTTTTACTTAATCAAATTCATAATAAAATCTAAAATATATGCAACACTAGAAAATTTGTATAACATAAAGTTATATCAAATTTGACTATCGCTCCTAATGAATCTATCTTTGACTTTTAACATTAATCTGATAATTATTTGATGTATTCTTATTTTATTTTACATTTTCATATTTAGTTTTTATAAAAAGAGATGAAGATTTATTTTTATATTTGATAATAAGTATTTGCCTTAAATTTGCAATCTATAAAACTTATTAGATGTATAATATTTATCATTATCAAATCTGCAACATTAATGAGCAAATAATAATGATAAATAGCAATTTATTAGCACGCAGAGAATACAATGTAAAAATCATTTATTTATTATAATGAAAAATACATTCAATTTTATTATATTTATTTAAATATATAGAAGGTGTTGTATTATCTATGCATAGTATAATCGTATAAAAATATATAATCGATTATTATTGATTAGATTATTATTTTAAAATTATTTTTCGCAAGCTGATTCATTTATTCTGACGTTTCTGATGATATCGACTAATTCCTTCACTAATTCCTTATCAGTCACATTAATAAAATCATTCTCGTTAGAGCCCAATATTACTCTATTCGCGTAAATCACCATTTTTCGTCTCTTAGCTGATGCATGAAACTCTTTGGCACCAGACTCCATGATTTTGCGAATGTTATCTTTTGTGATACCAGCTCCAGGCATAATTATTAATTTTTGTGCCTTTTGTACTAATGTTTTTATCAGTTCTAATCCTTCCAGAGCGCTATTTCTCTGTCCCGATGTCAGAATCCTCTGGAAACCAAGATCGGCGAGGACTTGCATCGACTGGACAGGATCGACCATGAGATCGAAAGCGCGGCTGAACGTCACCGGCAAAGGATGAGCGGCGGAAATAATTTTCTCACATGCGACAGTGTCGATCTCACAGTCGGAAGTTAATGCGCCGAAAACGAATCCATCCGCCTGATGATCCTTAAGAATCATCAGATCGTGCAGCATAGCGTCAATTTCTTCAGTAGTGTAGACGAAGTCGCCACCGCGAATGCGTATCATGACGTAAAGCGGGATCGTCGTGAAGTTTCTTATTTGCTTGAGTAGACCTGGACTCGGTGTTAGACCACCTTCCGAGAGCGCGGAGCAAATCTCCAATCGATTGGCACCACCCTCGATCGCGTTTCTCGCAGATTCTAAAGAATCAATGCAAATTTCCATCTACAAAATAAAATGACTAATTAATGATAAAAATAATTTTTCTTTACAAATACATATATATTGATTAATTAATTTTTTCAAAGTACAATTATATGTTTTTTTTACATTCCACATTATTTTGGATATAAAAGTCTCAAAGTAAGATTACTAAAGAAAAATTTATATTTTATGAGATATTTCATATTTTATCATATGTAATATTATATCATATATTCTTGAATATATAAGTCAATTACATGATAAAAAATTACATTAAAAGATGACAAATCGATATCTGAAATTATCGATTGAAGGAAACAAGAATCATTTTTAGAAAGATAGACTTTTGTTTTTTATAATGAAAAAAATGATCGAAACGCATGTTCGATTGAATTGAATTGCCAATGACTTACCTCGGTTGAAATCAGCTGGTTGATAATAATAATAATAATTAAATAAGTTGATAATAGAACAATGTGCTATGTGTTTCGTTATATTTTCATTCGAGATTTGTTATCTCTGATTCTATTACGTAAAAATCAGCTTATGTATACTGATAACAAAATACGTGTATATATTCGCGCCGAATATCTCGAAACGTGCCGCGAGAACAAAATTTTTGCCACGCTCATATCAAGCTCACTGCACCTCAACGCATGGTTGCAATACTGAATATCGTTTCCAGCTATCTCTCTGTAAATCGAAGCTGTTGTATGCGAGTCTCGCCATCTGTATTTTTCCGAGAAAAATGTCATGTATATTGTGTAATGATAACGCTATCGTTCGTTGACAAATGCCTCTTCGTTAAATTGCCTAATAACGGCAGTTCAATTCACTTGGCAATTTAACATGAATATATGATAATAACATAACATAAAGATAATTTCCAATGTTCATTGTCAGTAATTTTTTAAATTTTACTAAAAAATCAAGGCTTAAAAAATTGTTCTTCTTTTAAGTGAGTTTACGATTATTTCTTTTGACGATCAGATAAACTAATAAAAATTCTATTATTGTTATATGCTGTGTAACACAAAAATGTCTCATTATTGTCGCTATATATTATATATGCATATTTATTTCAACATCATAGATAATACTTCTTTAATTATCGCTAATTAACGCACATTTACAAATAATTCTTTAAAATTATCTAGCGTATCTATAAATTCACAGAAATATATAAAATTCTTATTTATTAAGGGACAGATTTTTGGATACAAGGTCCATGAAGCGTAATGTAATATTGTATTATACACAACATATATGTAATAAAATAATACCAAGTGTGACGCATATGTAAATAATAATAATAATAATAATAATAATAATAATAATAATAATAATAATAATAAAATCAATAAAATAATAATAGTAACAAATATATCAAGCAAATTTTACGAGCGATGACAAAAAAATTTTTAGAATTGAAGGGAAGAGACACTTTTTTAGTAGTATTACAATTTATAAAGAATCAATTCATTCAAAGTTCGTTTTTTTATTGACAATTGACGAATATACGTACAGTGCGCATATACTCTAGAATAAACTTCGCACGTAACTGAGTTGAACAGGAAGCACGTGTTTTCGTCGATTGTTAATTTAAATCGTAATTTCGCGTCCTCGATTTACAAGTCGACGAATATTGCGATCAAGATGCAGTCACATTTCTTCGATTCATTTATCTAACGCTTTCCAAGCAAGATTATGATTCTCGAAGAGAGAGATTCGCGCACGTTTCTCTTACGTTTGATTCCTCCCGGAAAAAAAGTTTATATATAATTTATATATAATTATATGTAATTATGTATAATTATATATAGTAAGATCTATTTATATTATCTTTTATATGTTATTATATCAAGATATTTATAACTTCATATCAAATTATATAGAATTATTTTGGATTTTCTTTTTCGAGTATTATACTCGATATTTTTGCATAATTCGATGTAGAATTAAAAATATTTTAATATAATTATATGTGTAAATAATCATAATAAATAGGTCTCATTATACATAATTATATATAATTAGATATAATTATATCTATACAATTATATATAATTAGATATAAATTTTTTTCGCGGATGATTACTGTTAAATATACAATTAATGCGTATTCGCACACGGGCCTAACGTAATACAAAAAATGTACAATTTATTATAATTATCATCGCGCATTATTTTCCGACCACAGGCGGATCTAGCTTTTTGTTTTTAAAAAAAATGTCAAAACGATAAAAATACATAAATTTCTTTTCAATTTGATTAATATCTATCTTGCATATTTCCGAGAAAAAGAGAAAGAGTAATTTCCATCTAGATCCACCTGTGAATCCGATTAAAATTCAATAGCGATGTACAAGAAGAGAAAAGAATGAGACGGGACCGTTTGGAAAATCAGAGATCGCCATTTGAGACCGCGATCGGCGATGGGCTCGTGGAATTATTGGAATTCGTTGTCGCCCATTTGTTCTTGTGTGGATCAACGCCAAAGCCCTCGTCGTAGTTTCCCCGTGTGATGAAGAGCTGCTTGAAGTGCGGGATGCAGTACAGTTTGCCGTTGTTCAGCGTAAAGGAGTCCATCCTGTTCGAACACACCACGCCGTGACGATGATTTCGTAACGATAATTTCACATTTTCGTGAGCGAGTTAAAAGTTGTATGCGAAAAATTAAAAAAAAGCAATTATGATATTTAATATATAATATATTAAGCACCATTTTCATATTTGATAAAAAAATTATCTAAAATTAATTGCCAATATTTCTCTGTGCATTAATGATGTTAATGTATCTTTGAAGTGCATCTGAATAAAGGATATTCCACTGTGATTAATAATTATAATACAAACGAGAGTTTAAACGTGTCTTCTTTTATGTTACCTTAAAATGCAATTGCACTGGAGACACCGGAAGCATTGCTTATGGAAGATTTTGTTATTTGTCTCGACCTTCTCCAAGGGGTAGACTTTCTTCTGGCAGCTCTCGCACACGTCCGTACAGCTCGTCTGGATCTCCTATACGATCGTTACGTCAAAAGTGGACGATATAATTAAACTTATATCCCTATGAATACTCCGCGACAGTCGAATAAACGGGAAACGATTTGTCGAAATGCATGATGAGATGTGTGAAGAGGTGTTTCAAGAAGGATATGCGGACGCTACGTGAAAAAGAAGAAGAAGAGGAAAAGCGTCGCGATGTTCTCGAACCGAGAGAGATCTCTCCCTGCTCCTTTCTCCTCCTCCTCTCACTCCCACGAAAGAGATTTAACATCTTCTTTATTTACCACTTATGTATTATCGTAATAAATGTTACACGTGAACAGAACAAAGATCGTTATACATCGATAGAAATGATACGTTAACAGACGCAATAAAATCGTATTAACTTAGTATTATCGCTAACTATGCTACAAATTAAGAGGCCGTTAACGAGAATTAACTTGCTAGAATCGTCACGCGAGATTGTCCCTATTTGATAGCTCGATTAATGGAGCGAAATCAAAACCCAGCTTAGCGCTTTCCGCTACAAATCTCCTCGAATCGCATTCGTGACTCGCACATCTCGAAACTTATTATTGCACAAACGAAAAAAGGAAGACGGGAAATGTACGCTGTCGAGAATGTACATCTTCGAATTTTTTTTTCTCTCCTCCTTCTACAGTACTTAGATTACATGTCTAGGAAAACTCGTACAGTGCTTTCAAAAAGAATCCATTTCGTACTCGATTCGAACTCGAAGAACGATCGCATTTTACCCTGATATTTTATGACCGAAGTCAATCGTGTGTGTACTTCTCTTTTCCAGAAATATAAAGTGTATTGATATAGAGGCATATCGTGTCTCTACATATACGACGAAGTTCTCGTACCTAGATTAGCGCGAAAAATATGTCGAATTTACAGCAAACTTACTACTTTCTTACACGATCTTACGGTAGTATCAAAAGCAGTATGACAGAAAAGAATAACATGACAGATACACACGATAGAAAACAAAAGTTATAAAATCCCATCGATAAAAATGCGTCTCACTCTTGAAAAATATAATACAATGTATCTAGATATAATACAACTAAAGGAGAAAAAGATTGACAACTTGATATTCGCGCTTTGTAAGACAATAAATACCTAATCACAATTTCTTGTATTGCACAAGAGATGCAAATGCGCAACGTGCATTTCGCGAATATTCCAATCGTTCGGATCAAACGGGAGAAAGATATTTTCGTTTCCGTTTATTTAGTCCCCGAGGGGAGATCGTTTCGATGAATAGACGGATATAAAAATCTACTTACTACCGCGCTAAGCTGTAAAAAGATTAGAAATTTAAAAGCGATCTCGAAATAGCTATGTTTCTCTCTAATCGACTAATCAGCTCCTGGAGCACTTAAATAGCGCCTCGAATATATGTATATATATATATATATTCCTCTGTATGTAAATGATAATTCTTCGCTCAGGCCCTCATCTCGCAATTTGGAAAAGCCATCATCTCTCCCTTAGTCATTCTTACGCACTTTTTTTCTCTTTTTTCTCTCGCTCACTTGTTTTTCTTCTCGTTCATTTGTCAACGAATAACTTGGCACTTATGAAAATCAAAAATCTAAAGCGATAGATCGTGTGAAGATCGCAACGACGCAAAAGGAAAGTTCTGTATCTGTGCATAAATATGAGATAAACTAAGATAATGAAAATTGTCGTGTGAAATAAAATGTGGTTTCATTAATTCTCTACTATTTTTATCTACTCACAGTATACATTTTCAAGGAGCATTTTTTGAATTCATTTATTTACTGCTCCGAAAACTGAATTATTCAAATAATAAAAATTAAAATATATTATACATATAATAATTATATAAATTATAAAGATTCCAAAATATTTATTACAATAAAAATTATTATTATATTTATTGAGAAATCACTCAAATTTATTCGACAAAATTTGGCACTCTGTAAAGTCATTGAAATCGTTTATAATGACTTTTGTCTTAATTGAAAATTGTAATATGGAAATGAGATTAATCATATATACTTAATTATACTTCGATTATTTGTGTTTTAAGGGAGAAATATTAAGTTACAAAAATAAATACGCATCGTTACGAATTTCACTGTTGGGAAGCGAATCTCATACGTTTTACAAAAATCTTGGCATCATCGCATGTATGTAGGCACCTTAAAGAAAGAATCTTTGCGAAAACGAAACGCGTTACTATATGCGACACAGATGGATGCTTTTTCTTTCTCGTCTATCTTTTATATATAATGTAAATTAGCAAATAATAAGATTTTCTCTCTTTATATATATATATATATATATATATATATATATATATATATATTAGGATAGGTCGAGCGCGTCGCTGTATAAAGAATATTTGTTTTCTGTAATAAAGTAAAATATTATTAAATATGTAATTATTATAATTTTGACTGTTGAATTTTCCTGGTTCCTTGATATATAGAATTTTAGAAAAATTTTAGAAAAAAAAATAATGATGCAATAGTCATTATATCAGTTAACGAAATGTTTTATGGAACCTCACAATTTGTACAAATCAATATATATCAAATTTCTCACAGAGTTTTTATATTTCTTATATGACTCAGCACATTATCGTCCCAAATGCTTTACAGCCATCTGTTAATTTTTTCTCTCTGTTGGCGTAATTTTCCATTTCTGATTGGACAAAACGCTCGACAGATCCAACAGTCATGCGAACTCTCATACTATAATATAATATGTATATATTTTTATATATATATATTAACACGCAACATATGGTACAGTCTATGGGCTAAAAAGACTCACTATACGAACATAACGCTTAATGTATGTGTGTATGTTAAAACCATCCCTAAGAAAACGAAAAGATCGTTACAGTAACTGACGATAACCGAACATTATTGCCGTTGCGAGAGATTAATGAAAAAAACTGCTTTCCCATCGCGGTTGTCCCAACGACGTTTTTCTTCCTCCATCGATTCTTCTCTTCCTCCACTCTTTTCTTCTTTGCATTCGATTTAATCCAGGCGTATTTTTCCTCCGTCTCTCTTTCTCCCTTTTACTGCTCCGCGTCACAAAAAGAAGATCACTTGATTCTGTTTGCAATTATTTCTCTCTACGATATCACATACGACACAAGCGGGCAAAAAATTTCGACCAAAATATCGCATAGGCAGATTTAAAAAAAAAAGAATGTAAGAACGATAACGACAAATAAAAAAATAATTACACCGATCATGCTTGATAATAATCAGCAGAGGAATAAAGATGGTTGAACCATCGATGCTCGTGTTTGAAAATATATGTATTCGTAATCTCGTCCGCGTAAATTTCATATTTTTATTGAGCTAGCAGATTATTTTTTGTCCTTTATAACAACAGAATTGCAATTTTACCACCATCTGCATTTACATCAAGTGAACAATAATTTCACATTATAAGAGTGAGCTTAAAGAATTATTCGTCACGATGCATCGATACTTCATTCGTATAGAATATTCTGACAAAATATATTCTCATAAAAAAAAGATGGTTTTAAAATTAAAAATTTTAAAAACATAAGCGCTCGGGTAACATATTTCGTCATTAAAACAATATATTTTAAAATTTATCATTTTAAGTACTATTTTTACTCCAAAATGTAATAGCACATATTGGTAATTCTTTTGATTACAAAACTATTTATAATTTTTCTGCTTAATATATTTTGATTATGAAACTAAAAACAAATAAGTAATTTGAAAGTATATTGGCTAATATATTAAAATACACAATAGTCGCCAATATATTACTCTTTATGTAATATATCGCAATTTTAATTTCAACATTATACAGTGGAAAAAAATAAAAAATTAATTTTTCATGCGATGAAAATTATATCATTTATCTTGTAAAAAATTCTGGTAATAGCGAACGGACGTATTTTACATTCGTAGAATTCATTGATTATACGAAGCGGATAAGTAGCGGATTAAATTATCATAAGCAACATTTAGTCTTTATCGTAAAATATATATACGTCGCCAAAATAAAAGAGTGCAAAAATTAATTCTTGTATATATAAACATATAAAATAAAATAAAATATAAATCATTCGTGCTTTCAAGCAGTGTTTTTATCGCGTTTGGATCGTTGTGATTTGTTAAATTAAATAAAATGCGTTTATTAGAAAAACGCGTATCAAAAAATATATTTTTGAAATTTCGACGCAATATAAACACTGCTCACAATTTAAATTTAAAAATACATTTATAATTCCAACATATAAGTTGATAAAGCAGGCAGAATGACGACAATTCAAAATCACACCATGCGCATACTTCATGATGCCTTGTTCAGAAACAAAGGAGGAATTTTCATTAGGAGAAAAATTTGTGGTCTTTCATGTCTCTGACTAACACACACACAATTAGACGCATATAAGTCAGTCAGAGAAGTAGTCTTGTCACGTTCAAAAAGAAAGAATAAAAAAAGGTATGCTTTCCAAGTTTGAGCAGTAGTAGTGGAAAGTCAAGACACAAATGGACGATGGATGAATGTAAGATGATGGATGCAGGACAAATAGCGATGACTATGAACGACGAATCGCGAATATCGTATCGGGTGTGATATTTGTCGAGGGAAAGGATGAAACGTGTGCGATTATATTCGACGAAGTGCTTCCACAAGTACTTACCACGAATCGATTAACTTTGACCTTCGGTGCGCGCGGAGATTCGTTGTTCTGCGAGCCGAGAGACTCGAAACGAGCTCTCAGACTGCTCGCGGATTCTATGCTGGATTGTTCACCAGTACCTTGGGCCATTTCGATTTCGGCGATGTGATGACTGCTGACCTTGCCGTCAGTCTCCTCCCAATGCTCGAACTTAGCACGAAGGGTCTTGGCGCGCGCTGCATTCTGCGCTTGTTTCAAGAACTCGTCCTCCACCTAGACAAGAATAATAGGTGAGAGAATTTCGCAGATTATAGGGTAACACAAACAGGAATGAAAGATAACTTTTCTCGAAACGATTAAACCTAAAATATAAACTTGCTCCGAAAATTCACGTCAATTTATTAAAACTGAATGACATAATCCAACTCCTTTCAGAATATCTCTTTTCAAAATATCAGATTTTAATTTACTTATAATAAAATTAAAATAATGAAAAATATATAATGTGTAAAGAATTTGAGATTTTCAGAAAATTTTTAGATAAGCGCAAAAGAAAAATTTACAAAATTCTATACTTTATATATTCATTCTTACATGAAATGTCTTAATAGTTACAAAAAATTGAAAAATTCTCTTTTTATAAAATTATTAGAAATTAATCCAATTAGAATTTTATACATTATGAGAGAAATTTTATGCTCATTCTTATTATTCTTTACCTTTCATATTTTTATTAAACAAATTCAATGTAAATATTGCATGCATGCACGTATACCTTGTCAGAAGCACGAACATAGTTGGGATCTTTCTCCTCGGCGCTCTCGTCGCCCTCGGATTCCTCATTTTCTTCATCCTCGTCCTCCTCCGAGTCCGAGGCCGTTGCCTTGGCGAATTTGTCTTCGGGGGGCGGAGTGAAGCGCTTCAGGGGTTTTGGACCCTCCGGAAGTTCCTCCTTGCACGCGTTTTCCTCCATCTGCCGGAAAATGGACAGCATCTTTCTTGCCGTGTCCGTGTGAACCACCTCGTCTACCCTGTCATCGGCCCTGACGACATCGGGATCGCGGTATATCTCGCGATCCGGTGAATCCATCTGTTTGAATAATTAAGACGATGTTACAATATGACGATATGATAATTAAATAGCTCGAACCACATTACTTGATCGTCCAATTTTGCTACCGGAAATAATCTCAATCTTTCTCGTTATAAAAAACTTAAGATTGTACAAGACTAATAGGTTTTATTACTTGTTTCTTTTTCAAAGTTTTTCTTTTTTTCAAGTTTTTTTCAAGTTTTTAAGGAGCAAATTATGTAGTTCGATGTTTATTATTGCTCACTTTATGCTCAATGCTTTTATTATGAATTGTTGAGTAGATATTAATACATCAATCACAAATGTTACAAATGTTATAAAAATATCTAAAGAGATGTTTCTAAAATGGAGTATAATTAGAATTGTTAAAAATAACGAGGTTTTTTTCTATTCTTGTAAAACTTTGTAGCAAATAAAAAATATTTAAAAAAAGATGACTTTTCAAACTTATGACTACATTATTATTTTTATATAAAGAAATGACAGAGTTTCATTATGTTTCAGATAAAGTCTTTCATTTTCGCAGATGTGTTTATTTCTTGATAAAAGCATGTGTTTTTAATCGGCGGATTCCTCGACATCACACATCTCTGAAACATTTTTTTATAAAAGGAAATATTTCTTCTTGACATGTGCAAAAGATAAATATATGAAAGAAATAATATTATTACAATTATATGCATTCTAAGCGGATTATATTTTTAATGTACAAATAGTAATTTCAAAAATTTATATTTATTTAAAACAAAATAGTAATAACAATTATATTATAAAAATATTCCATTTAATCAAAAGAAGAGTTTTATTTTTCTAGAAACGTATTAAATAATTATTATAAGATTATTGGAAGTTAAATATTTATTGTATTTAGCTATGCAATTTTTATTCCAAAACTGATAGATAATTAATTGATAAATTATATGATAAGGTGGGAAGGACAGATAATTGAAAGGAACATATTTCGTATAAGTCGTTTATCGCAACGATAATTTTAAATCGAATGTTTAGCCATGATGCAGACATACATATACACGCACATATATGTATACACATCGTTAGGAAGGATTCCAGGTAAGCTGGAGATCGACGACCACAATGTTCTTTTTTAAGCTGACATGAGTCAGCTCTAGAGGTTCCAAGCGTAGGCGATATGACTATAAATCTTGTGTAGAAGGTACAATCTTTTTATTGAAAATATTATTTTATAAAAAAAAGATAAATATATAAATATATAAAATAATATATAATTTTATATATGAAACTATATGAAAAAGTTAGAAAAATAATATCAAAAAAGATAAATTATATAATTACTTAAATAATATCTTTTCGAAAAATAACAAATAGCAAAGTTTGTGTGTATATATACATGTATACAATTAAAAAAATATGTATATTATGCATTCAATTGTAAACAAAAAGCTTTGAAAAAAATTAACGTGTTTTTAAAAAAAAACTGATTTTACAAGAAGTAAAAATCACACACATGCAACAACTGAATATTTACGTGCTTCAAAGTTCCACAATCAGAGTACTGCAATATCAATAAAAGTTTTCTTATTATACAAAACAAAAAATCCCTTTTTTATAAAAGCTTGGCATTTCCTGTATGCATTTGTACCTGAACCCAAGCAGATCAGGTAAAAGTTGAGAACTGAATTGTATATCACGTGGAGCGATCAAAGGTTGCAATATTTTAAAAAGATAATCCTTGCTTTAGTTCAGGTCTAATCAGGATGAGGAGGCCAAGATTGTCGACCGGAATCGTCGGCTTAATCGGACAAAAGGGTCGTTTCAAGGTTGACGACAATAAATTGACAGGTTTAAGAGCAACTCACGCACTCTGTATGGAGCGATCAATTGTCATGTCACTTGCGACAACTAATATCGCTCTTCTCGCTTTCATTTATGTCGACGAATTTGCTCTTCAGCAAAAAATATTGAAGTGCCGTTTCTCTTGAGAGAAAAGCGACACTCTTGAGAGAACAGCAAGAGAGGAAGCAAGTCTTTGAGAACTTGTTAAAATAGATATGTTACAGTTGGGAGGAAATAATTAAAGTAATTAAAGTTCAAATAGATAGATCACGTAATTTTATATGATTAATTCTATATGATGATAAAAAAAGAAAATAGACTACATGCCTCGATTATTATCGTCATATTAACAATTGATCAATCTTAATTCTCTGCAAAAAAATATAACTATGGAAGGTAACTCTAAATTATCTTATCAACAGTCATGTTAAACTCAAACTCCAGAGCGAACTTTTCGTCGAAAGCGACAGGAAATGGAAAATCAATAATTGCTACGCGATGTTTCTATTGAATTATCAGACAGTCCCGGTATTTATCGCATTTAGTCTGGAATTGAGGAATTCCCGTCACATAAAATTATAAGCGAGTTGTTTTATTGCATCTTAATTCAAAATTATTAATATTCAAATATGAATATTATACTACTAATAACTGTTTATTGTTAATTATTATAATAATATTTATCAATAAATTGTCAATAAATTGTTAATCAAAACAGATAAAGCAAAAATATAACATAAATAATAAAATCGGAAATAAAAAATAGTGTATTCTCGAAAAAGACTCATTCATTTCTGGTGCGCTTTTAAAATTTAATTTGGCTAATTAACACGGTTAACGAGGCTATCATTTTTAATTAGGGTAGAGTGAAGGCAACGCGGTTTTGATTCTTGTGGCCAGATTTCAGATTAAGTCGGATTTCATATTGGAGTAATATAGCGGCGAGAGCAGCGTACGGGAGCATACTTCCAGCGGAATTCCATAAAATCACCAGTCCAGAAAGGATATTTGATCACACGGTATCCTTCTGCCAGCACGTCAAGACGCCGCGACGAGATTGCGCCCCGCAAGCAACGTCCGTTCCTTCACAGATTACCATCAACGGAAATGCACCTACGGTCGCGCAACGCGAAGCATTGAAGAAAAAGAGCTCGGTTGTACACGTGTATGTACGTCGAAAAGTAATTAAAACAATCGACAATTCGATGGGAACACGTTGCGCGATTACACGCGTATTAAATGAGATTTTCTCCAAATATGATAATTGCAACTTTCAAAAGTTTCTCGCGCAATTTCCACTTTTCCTACAAAAACATCAGGATGTATCACTCGATCTAGAATAATTTGTTGTTAGAAAAAAATCTATTGAAAAACTGAGTATTTGTATATTAGTTATGGATCTGTATTTTGTCGAGCGCGAATATATGCAATTAATTAAACAGATGGTTAATTATCTTCAGTCATAATCATTTTCATCGACAATTTCAGCGGATCAAAATGTGTTATTCAAATACAATGAACAATCTTTATTTAAGCAAAGCTCAGAAATACTGAAAAGTCTGATCGCAATTGCAGGACATTATTAACCGATGCGTTCATTGATTACTTTTTAATTACTATTATAATTACTAACTCATCAGCAAACGCGACACAGACACCAAATAATTGTTAATTATCAGAATTTCGAATATATCACAATCTCTCGCCGAATATGCGCAAGTTAATCACGATTTGGGACAACGGTATTAAACGGAGCGTTGATTATCTATCAAATTAGAAGCTAGAAACTGTCAACTAGAGACGTTAATCGAAAAGCGACGCGGGTCAGTCACCGAGCGATCCTCGATCGAGAGAAATCTTGAAAGAATATGTTACCGCAAAGAGCCCAGTGCTTTTGACGATAATTAACGATTGCGACTTGACCGCGTTCGCTGCGCGATAATTACCTTTCCGCAATATCTAATAACGCTTCCTCGGCGAGCGGATGAAGACTGAGCGTCGTCGCTCAAACCGTCAGCCACCTTCGCGCTCTCGAGGGAGACTCTCTTTCTCCGGTTCGTGAGAAGTTCGCCGCGACAGCCGGTCGCCAGTTGCTATGCCGTTCACACGAGGAGGATACGACGGTATGTACTCCTCCCCTTCGGGTGTGTGAGTTACTGCGATGAGGGGGACTTCGTCGCGCGCGCCCTCCTTCAGTTAAGTCCCCGGGCCCGCTGGAGTTCCCGGTCTGTTCGTTGCCCGTTTGCTCTTCACGAATGGAAGGATGTAGGAATACTAACGGTAAAAGTATGGTTTGCTGTTGCTGCTGCTGCTGCTGCTGCTGCGCTGACCACTTCGGGGGGGTTCAAGGACAGCCCGGTTTGTTGGAACGTTGACTCGTTCTTGTGTGCGTTTGCGCGCGCGACGCATCGCCGGACCCTTCATACAGGGGGCCTTTTATTATAAGCTGCGTCCACGAACGACGTCGAACTCTCGTTATCGCGCTCCGATAATTATCGATAGACCCGCATTCTAAAGGGATGCACTGACGGAGAGAGAAAGAGAGAGAAAGAGAGAGAAAGAAAAATAGAGGGTTCCTGTTTCTTTTGGAGTACGAGATAAACGATGTTTTATCCTTTGAGAAATAAATATTTCATTCTAAATAAAAGTATTTCATTTTAAATATTTGTATTCGAGCAGAATTTGAATTAGTTTAGAATATTTCCGAAACTTATATTTTTTTATCGTGAAAAATATTTAATGTTATAAAAAAATCGATAGACGTGCATTCTATAAGGATGCACTGACAGAGAGAGAAAGAGAGAGAAAGAAAAATAGAGGGTTCCTGTTTTTTTGGAGTACGAGATAAACGATGTTTTATCCTTTGAGAAATAAATATTTCATTCTAAATAAAAGTATTTCATTTTAAATATTGTATTCGAGCAGAATTTGAATTAATTTAGAATATTTCCGAAACTTAATATTTTTTTATCGTGAAAAATATTTAATGTTATTAAAAAATATAAAAAAACATTATATATATAAAAAATTTATTGTAACATAATATTTTTTCAGAAGGCTCTTATCTTTCTTGAAACACATTGCATGTTGAGTGCATTATATATATAAAATATAGATAAAATATATTCGAAAGGAATTAAAGTCTTATAGCTGTTACTTTATCTTGTATCTTTAAAAAAAACAGAAATTTTTTAATACATATAGACTGCTTTCGAGATTAAGTCTAATAATGATAAGTTCTTTGACGATTTCGGAGTCAATATCTTATTAAGAGATATAATTTTGAACAGTCTTGTTAAATAACACGAGTTATTTAATGCAATGGGAAACATTTAATCAGGAAAAGTAACAAAATCAGTTAATATTAAATTAAGAATAAAGTATTAAAACATAAAACATGAAACTACAAGTTGGTTAAAAACGTGATGCAATACAAAACAGACATCCGTGTATGATTGCAGACATTTCTGCTGTCTTAATTGAAAATGAGATTACGCTGTTTCTCCGGAAACTAATATTTTATGTGCGCGCATTTTCTTACAATCTTATCATAAATATCGATATATATTAATGTTTCAAGATATCTTTACATTTATCGTCGCTTTATCGATAATCGCAAAATCTTTATCAACGAGTAATAACGTCATTGCATGACTAATAATATGTTACATTTAAAAAATACGATAAAAATAAACTATGCCAAAAATAATACTATAAAAAAATAGTCATTGAAAGAATTATCTCTAGTAATAATTTTAATAACGTTATAATTTTGCACCAATTTATTTCCACATCAGTTACTTGATTTAAGCAAATTTTGGTGCCTGTTATATATTTTTTTTTTCCTAACTCGATAGAGAGTAATTTTTTTTAATGAAAATATGTATTCTGTCGAGTATGTAATGCGATTATTATTATATTATTGAATTAGTTAACACGCACACGCACTTGTTAGATTAAAAGTTGCACAGAAGCATGAATCAATCAACGACAATAAAGTCGAAGGATCGAACCTTGACTTGACCGTCGCGAGGAGGCGTGATGCGAAACTGTTTTCGCTGTTTCTCCGGTTCCCTGTAGGACTCGAAGAATTTGAACTTGTTCGAAATTTCCGACGTTTCTACGTGAACCTCCTCGGTTGCATCTGAGCTGCGTACCACATCGTCTGAGACTTGACGACCCATGAACGCCTTTTCCGCAAATATTTCGAAAATAATCCTTGTTACTAGACGCGATGATATTTGTATTTCGCGCAAATGTTTATATGTTTGATATCTCTTGTTCAAAAATTGATGTATGTTTGTTTCAAATGAAGTATTTTACTTGATGCAATTTTTGCTTTGAGAATTTAAACTGAGCGACACATTGAATAATATATATAAATAACACATAATATATGATAATAGCTAATATTATAATAAAAGAAATGTTTAAAGTTTCTTACTTTGAGAAATTAAATTAAATTAAATGTTTAAAAAAATAATATGTATATATATATATATATATATATATATATATAAAATTTTCTAACAAATATATACTTAAATGTATCTTAATAATTGAAAAATTAATATTTTTCATTAGAGATAAATTGTGCAAATTATATTAAAAAAAAAAAAATACATAAAATTTAAAAATTTTCATAATTTCAGACAAATCAATGTCTGATAGATTTCAAGGCAAATCGTAGAAGCGACTTAATCGAATAATAAATTTAAAAAATTGTACTTACGTCTCGTGCACGTCGTGAGTTCTCGGTTGGTGTCTTCGGATGCACTGGCGTTACCGGACGTCCTGTTTTCGCTGCAGAAGCGTCCAGTTCCAAAAAGAGCGATCGCGACTTTCTGCTGATACCTGCGTAAGAGATGTGACCAACATAAATTATCATAAATCAGTTTTGTGATTATAAATTGATAATTAGCATCGCCGATATTTTCTCTCTGCGCATTTCGACAACTTATAATGATCTGTTTTTATCTGGGACAAGAAATAAATCTCACAAAAGCTACTGAATATTAATATAACTTTTTAACACGGTCTTCTATTCTGTAGAAAGTTTTTGCACTAAATCATATTAGTTGCTTTCTTTCAAACTTTTCTCTAATTCATGACATGAGTACGAGAGAGAGAGAGATGTACATCTTTAAAATGTATCTCATAAAAAAAATATTAATTTATCATTCAAATATCACCTCGTATATTACTTTCATTTATTTGTAATTATCGATAATTCAGTTAATTTTAAAATGTAAAATGATATAAGAAGTGATACTCCTTGTATTTTTTATCGTAAATAGATTTTTGTTATATATTTCCAGTTATAACATAATTCCTTTCCGCTTCTTCCGTTCAATGTAACACAGTATTATCGATTAAATGTTTCTTCGATCTTTTTTACGATATAACTATACCTCTTTTTATATCATTAGCTTTCAATTCGCAAGTCATTTAATTAGTGAAAATACCAATTCGCACCTGCTGCGATCACCTCCTCGTCGGCTTTCTCCGGTTTCGGTTTACTGTCGGTTTCATCGTCCGAAGCTGCGATTGGCTCACCCCTTTCGAATCTCTCTTTGATGGAACGAGCGTGGGTAGCCGAGTGCTGGATCTCCTCCGCCGCATTTATCTTTGTGACGCGGTCATTTCCGGCTACTGCCTGTTGATACATTTCCTTCATCTTACCCTGTTTACCCTACAAAGCAGAGAAAGAGAGAGAGAAATTATAATAGTGTATTGCGATATTAATAGAATAATAAATAAATAATATGATGTATAATACTAAGATTATTCTTTTCCACTAATTTTTTTTCTCTTTCGAAATAATTATATTCCATTATTTTTTTATTAACTTATTTTTATAGGGATAAATTACCATGAATAATCGCGAGCGAATTCCTGCGATTTCTTCCTTCCTAGCCTCGCGTTGAATCTCGCGCCTTCCTTGCTGACTGGTGGATTCCCAACGATTCTTGATATCGTCCATCTTCGAGAAACTGATCGGTCGTTCGCGTGTAGTGCGTTTTGCCTTTATGATCTCGGTTTCCACCTCTGAAAAATCGAGAAAGCAAAATTAATACAATTACATTCAGTATGAAAGAACATGTATAAGAGAGCTGTTTATTGGGAAAAAGATTTTAAATTTAAATTAAGGGAGAAATTTACGCTCGTGCTAAATTTAATAAATTTGTGATGCAAAATTTTTATCGCGCGTTTTTCTTTCATTTTTTTCGTAATATCTTTTCATTTATCTCACCTTCGGTCTCCTCCGTCTCCACGTCGTCCTCACTTTCGCTCGATTCCTCGTAGGGTATGCCATTGAGAGATTCGTCCGCCACGCCAATATCCATGCCTTTCGCCTGGAATCTGCATGAGAAGACATGCAAGGCGGTTACAGATATTCCGATTACGCTTGTAACATGTTCTGTTGCTTGTGTGTTTTCTCGAGTTTCAAGTTACGAAAAGAAAACTGCTGACTGTAGAATACCGCGAAAATATCACTCGTACCGGTTATATCGCACGCGAAATAAATTAATATGATTTTCAACGATAAACTTTAATTTTTCACGTCATAATAAAAATCTTGAAATTTCTCTTGATTTAATTTTCTTTACATCCAGAAGTGTAATAATGCAATTATAATATTTTTATTATTTACTTTTTTTATATAAAAACTAATTTTGCCTATTCAGCAACGCTGTCGAATTTATTACTTAATATAATTTATTATTTTCATTTCTTACATAAAAAAAGTGTTAAAAATTTAATCCTTTATATAAAAGAATAAATATGGTGAAGAATATTACTAGCCTGTCGAGAAACACTAGCCCAACGAAATTACAAACTCATCATTATGCATTCTATGGAAGCGAATCTGTGTCACGGTAAGATATCACGGTTTAAGATTAACGCAAAGAAAGTCATATATGCTCAAAGAGAGACGTGACTTGAAGCAGCTAATATATAGACATAATATGAAATTCTCTGCGGATATTGTAAATAGATAGATTTTTAATCAGCGATTTTGCACTTTGTAAGAAATTTGTCATTGATTGCTCACTTGGCCAGTTTACTGAGGATGCTGGGCGATCTCTTGACAGCGATCTGCGACGGCGATCTCTCGATTTCATTGGCATTCTCTGCGGTAGCTTTCTCGAAGACTTGGAAGCGCGACTTGACGTTTAAGCTTGAGAGTTCCTCGAGTCCTAGGTCGGGTTTGTCGGAAGCTGAAAAATTCAGAGAAGAGATTTCTTTACTTCACTGTCCGCGATGCTTCCGTTCCTGTTCAAACATTTAGACACTCTCTCTTCTCGACGATGAATTTGTTAGATCGCCACTCGACAAGACAGCAATTCGCGGAAAAGACAAAGTTGCACACGATTCAAAATTTTAAAAAGCGTCCAAAATGAAAAAGAAGCTTGTTAAAAGAGAGAAAGAGGCGATCGCCTCGATAGTATATAGTCACATTACGTAGATCATATTACAACTTGTACACATTTTTTTACCTTCTCGTGGATGTTGTACATATCTGCATGAGATATCAGATACCGCTCGTTCCTCACGAGCTATTAATAATGTCATATATGCAATAATATGATTTTGACGTTCTTACTCATTCAAACGAAAATGTTACAATTATATATCTATTTTTATTTCCCTATATCCTGGCTATTTCGGAGACTATTTAATAATATCGGATATATTTAATAATAATCTTTCAAGAAATCTTGTAAATGTAAAATAAAATGAAGTTAATATATATAATACATTAAAAACCGTATCAAAGATAATTTTAAATTTTCGCAAATTTAAAGCGTTAATAACGGCATTGCTAATCAAATAATATTGATCACTGCACTTATCATGCAAAAGAAGAGATTAATTTTATTGTTGAGAGTAGAATTAGTTGTTTCGTAATTTCATAAAATATACCAGCAAATATATCATTCATCGTTTTGATGTGATAAAACGAATTATTAATTGACACGCTGATGCGAGACACCCAACATGATTTGATGCACAAATAATCCTTCGATTCGACAGAGCCAATCAATGGTTAAAGAAGCCACTCGCCAAAAGGGACACGCAACGTTAGGAGCAATCTCCGTTCCACACATGTACACACACACACACACACACACACACACACCACACACGCACACGCACACGCATGTCAAATATTGTTACCTCTGACCACATCAGGTGGCAACTCTTTCGGCTCGTTCTCCCGTATGATCAGCTCCGGCTTTCGAGGTCGCACTGCGGAGTTCAGAAGACAAACTCTTTGTCGTATTAACGATACCATTCATTCTCTTCGCGCGCGCGTGCACGCATGTAATTACACGGGAGGAGAGGGAGGGAGAAACAAGAACTCTGTAATTTTAGTCTCTATGTTTCTAAGAGCTTAACAAAGTAAGTCCGCGATATATATACTCGGTATTCCTCTCCTCCCTTTCCAAGTTATGCCAGCAATTAAAGCAGCATTATGCCACATCTAGATTCCCTTATGCACTGCTCTATCTTTGCCTAACGTCGTACAACTTCCTTTCTGTTATCTCTACATCAAGAATGCAACCTTGTTTCCAATTGTCTCTGCATTCTACATACTCATCTTCGGACGTATATCTCGTTATCGGGGGAAAAAAACACGGGACGCATAAGTTCATATGCAAAGTTACAAAACCTGCGACGAGTCGGGGGATTAATCGAGCGCGCCGGCTAATCATTAGAGCGAAAGAAATTTATGAGCATCGCGAGAGCCAACTTTATCTCTTTCAATTTTCCCGTCGAAACGCATCTCATGCGTTTACGTTCCTTTAATACATTCCGGCCGCTTTATCCGCGCAAGGTCCTCCTGGCCGAGAGAGATTAGCGGCTAGACGGGGTTGTCGACGATGGGGATTGACATCGATTAAGCGTCCGCGTTAAGATTTAACGTGTAATATTCGCAAGAGAGCGATATCCGTTTAAGCGGATTAACGCGGCCGCGGCTTAAAAAGCGAATGCGCGACTACGTATCTGCGCGAGAGACATAGTAATCATCTTACCGGGTTGTTCGGACTCCTCGACCGGTTTCGGTTGGAAGAGCTCCTTGAAGTGCGGCTTACAGTAAAGCGTGCTTTCATGACTCTCGTAATTGTCCACGTTGAGCTGCTTGCCGCACTGCACGCACCGGAAGCAATTCTTGTGCCAAACCAGACCCTCGGCCTTTGTCTGCTCCATTTGAAACACGACCTTGCCGCAGCTGCGACAATTCGTATTCGCTTCGCCACCACTTTGACCCACCTGCAACGCGACAAATTCATTAGCGCCTTTCGCGGCTTTCACTCTTCACCGTAGCCTCTTTAGAAGAAGCGAGCAGGTGAATTTCTCATCGTCGTTCTCGGTTAAACGTGTACCGAGATGTGTTAAGCAAAGAGAGTCTAACAAATTGCATCCAGAGGTACTTTCAAATGATTTTAGTGCAATGTGTCAAATATAGATGAGATGTTACTTGGATATAATTTTAGTATCAAATATAAAGGATTCGTAACTTTTTAAGTGAATCATTTTATGTTTCTTCTTAGGATGCTTGTAGAAATTTTTATGTAAAAAACAATATAGTTTCGAAGTTTTATGAATAACGAAAAGAAGGAGAGACTTACGGCATTTAGCTGCTGTTGTACTTTTCCTGCATCGACCGAACGTACGTGAAGAACTGTCTTCTTAGAGAGAGCATCGAATTTGTTAAAGCTTGATTTCTGTAAATATATAATAAAGGTCTTGTCAGAAAGTAGATACTACGAATCTGGAAGCTATAAAAAAGAGGGAAAAAATAAAGAAAACACGAAGAAAAGGTTCCGCAGCATTTCTTCTAGCATCGGAGCAGGAAAACTTTATCTCTTTCGCAATCTTTACTATTCTCAAAATGTAATATGCAAGGAGAGATATTTGTAAATTAGAAAAAAATAAGATAAAAAAATTATCATCGTACGGAAATGGAAATTGTGTACATGCAGAATTATTAAATTATTAAAATCTATTAGGATCTTGGATAAGATTTAGATATTCTATTTTGGAGAATAAATAATTGATACCAGAGAGAGAGAAGGAAGAAGAGAGAGCTAATGTTATACACAATTATTTATTGCAATTTTATTATTTATTTAATAATAAATATTTTCATAAACATTATAAACTGTATTCAACTTCTGCACGAATTGTAGATTTCTAATTTCCACAAAAGAGTAATAATTGATTTTCCGAAATGATCAAGTACAAAGGTCTGAGGAAGCAGAAAAATCAATCGCAAGCTAAAAAAGCAAAGCATATTTCTCTCTCTCTTTCTTGAGAAAAAGATGGCAAAAGCAATGAAAAATTCTAGATCAAGTCAAGTCAAACCTTTGTACGAGAATCGATCTTATCACGCTTTATCTCTCTCTCTCTCGTCAATATTTTTCTTACCTCAAACTTCGGCTTCTCGCATGCATGATCCTTGTCCTTACCCTCGCTCGTTAAGCTTGCCAAACTACAATAGGAAGCCCTCTGTCCCCCGGGGTCGGTTTCAGTGATTGTCAATTTAGGGTTTCGCATGCCGGGAAGAGGTAGACGAGTCGAGAAGAACAAAGAGAAGAAACGGAGGCCGCGAGTTAGTGAAACGGTGGCGTAAAACGAACAACAGGCGGAATACGGTACTCGAATACTTATCACGGGATGCAGCAGTTAGCGATATTCATTATCCACGGTTATGGCGTCGCCAACGACGCGGCCGGAAATTTTAAAGTCATAATTTGCAGGTAGAGATCCCTCACGCGGCCGAGGACAGGTATATACGCGACGACATCATCATCATCGTCGGAGGCGGAGACGGTGCTTGAGCCTTCGCTAATATTTACGTTCGAGAGTATTAATTTTTTTTTCTAAACATACATTCTGTGTACCGTGCACTCAATATAAAATGCATCGTCCTTGAAACGAGCGAGGAAGAAGACGATTTTGCGCGAAGGATCGCCGGTAAAACCAAAAGATATTTGCTTTATGGATGCCACACACATTGTTAAGCAGTCTTTCTTTATCTTCAATATTTTGCTCGCAATCTGTGTTTTAAGCCTTTAATTATTTATGTATGACTTGTTGCTCCCTTTGAAAAAAACTTTTTTTCAATTTGAATTTTAATATCTATGAACACTGACGAGTACGTGTCACTTCTCCGTCGCCTGCATGCGATGCGTTTTAATCGAAACTTTGCCAACTGCTGCATCAGACGAAGGGAGAGAGGACAAACAAAATGAACGACAAAGGACAACATTGGAAGTAGCACGGAATTTATTCGTTGTTTCGTCGCGTCGGCCGATCATTTTACGTCACAAGCTCACATCATCATTTCATCTCGAATTGACTTTGCTTTCGGCACCATCACGCTCTATCAGTCGCATCAATAAGCTTTCTTCAATAAAACGATACGATCATGCACGTTTAATGGGTTGGCATTACCGTTAACATGATATATCTCTATGGAGCATAGAATCATAGAATGGAATTATGTTGAATTATGTATCCTAATTGGAATAAAAAGGATTAAAGTTTTCTCGTCAAATGCACTTCAATTTTCAGATAAGATCGAAGAGAGACTCGATCACGTTGTGGTAAAAGTTAACGAATAAAAAGAGACCATCGCATTTTAATTATTAATTTACCTGAACAGTTCAGAATTATAATTTCTTGATATTTATTCTTTACATGTATATTTATTAATTATTCATGGTCTTATTCTTTTTATTTTATTTTATAGAGACATTCACTAGTTTGTTTTAATTTTGCAATTATAAAATAAAAATTCTAACAACTTTGCGACACATTTAGCCTCATTGCGTTAATTCTCGCGAAAACATTTGACCCGCTTTTCCCGCTTTCCTTTCCATGTTCGGATCTAAGTCGACGGAAAACGGCAAGTACGTGAAATTTCGACGGGACACGCGTGCCCCGTCGACATTCCCGGGGGCGAAGTCGTGCACCGAAAACCCGATAACCGGATAACCGATAATCGACGGATGGAAAAAAAAAACGCATAATCGCCATCCGGAGTTCGCGTTTCCACGCAATCGGCTGAAGTAGGGCAAATGAGTAGTGGTTATTATCAAGTCGGCCCTTCCATAAATGGAGAGACGGCATTCGCGGCGCGATGAAATCAACTGTTCTGCCGTGTGCATGCGAGTTCTCGGAGAACACTGTACTTGACCGAGCGCTTATTCAAGGAGAGAACCCATATTACCAAAATTCCTTTCTCACCTCGCTTTCCGCCGAGAGATATGCGTATTAAGAAATTATAAGGTTAAATCGAAGTTAAATCTCCTGCCCTATATAGCCTTAATATCAAGTAATGCCATGTTTTACAGAGTAAATTTAATTAATTAATGAATAGCGTTAAAAAGAGATAAAGATGCAGATTTATGCCAACACACACAGTGAAAGTCAACTCGATCAGGTTTGCATTATTTTTTGCGTGAGAGCTGTTAACTTTTTCAAATATTAAAACTAAATGAAAAGGAGAGACAAAAGGAAATTAATTGCCTTCCACTTCCACGAAAATGATCGCGAACGTTATACATCTAGAACGCAACGTCCCTATTTTTTCCTTCGTTTGATTATTCGCGATTAATGCGAACGAGGCAAATAATCGACGGTCTTCACAAGTACCGGATAGGATAAAACAATTACACGCCCACCGTCATCTACTGATCGTTGGGCTCGGATAGAAATTGCCGATCGCGAGCCACGATGAAAGATACATGTAGTTTCATTAGATCGAAAGTTCACGATTTATCGCTCGGCCGACTCCGATGTTGTCCATGTCACTTACAAAAAGTACTTACGAGCGCCTTGACCGACACCCTGGCGAAGACTGTCGCGTCTTTGGTGAATTTCGAGTAACTCTGCTCGCATACTCTCAGATCACCCATCGATCTCGCTTTCTACAGTCGAGCGAGAAAGCGTCAACGAGAATACAAATTAGCAGTGAGTCGTTTTTCGAGAGGCGCGAGTTCTGTGAAATATCGATCGTAAGCGATAATGGATCCGTCAAAGTTAAAGTTTCGAAAAAAAGTTTCTTATCCGAAGTAGGATGAAAATATTTCACATGCTGCATATAATTTTTTTAAATTTTATAATAATATAATAATATAAATATTGCACAATTAAAAAAATATAAATAATAATACCTTATTATTTATATTTTTTTAATTGTGCAATAAAATCTGACAAAATATTTTGTTTGCAGAATATTAATCGATATATTGCATTTACAAAATATATTTCCATTTTGTTGTAAAAATTCTGTTGTATTATAAAAAGGAAAAAATAATATTTTTCAGAATAAAAACATTATGCAATTATATTAATATTTCACACAGAACTCGCGCTCTAGATGAATGATTAGTATATTATTAAAATGTTTGTATTATATGATTGAAATTCGTTTCGTTATAAAGCAAATATCGGAAGTAGCTCATGCAATAACAAAGGTTAGATAATGCAATTCATTCCTGTCGTACATGTCATATTATGACGAAAACTAATTTGCGACATCGTTAATAAGCATTTGCATGCTTGCACAAATTTTATCTAGACGCAATCTCTTCTTACTTTGTCATTAAGAAAGAAATCGCAAATAAATTATATTTACTTTACGAATAAAAAAATATTGATTATGGGAAGAATGAAAATTTATAAAAACGAAAAAATTTACTTAAAAAAATTAAAACATGTAAAAGAATCTCATCTTTAAAATTTATTATTTAATAAAAAAATAATTTCAAACCTATTTTATTTTATTTTGTATGAAAAATGTTTTTTAAACTTTCTAATTCGAATAAACAGATGAGCATTTTCCACTTAAATTTGTACCTTACATCATTTTTCAATTACAATAAATAAGACAAAACGAACACGTAACATTCGATGCACGTTTGAAACGGATTATAATAGACATATATTATACAAACCTCCTCGGTCTCCACCGCGTGGCTGGTTTTCCCAAAAGCCGCCTGGTCGCCATCGCTCATGTTCGAGATGTCGCCAAAGCTGCGACACTGTTAGTGACAAAATACATCTGACATATGTATCGGCTATTAACGAAGCAAATTTGTGGCGAAAGCATACGAAACAAATTTATCGATTTTGTCGACAGAAATAGAAACGAGACATTTCCTATCTTATACATAGAAAAAAAATGCTTGATAAAATGAATTTATCTCGCCTGTATTAATCTCCTCACTATATGTATTTCGCTGCCAATGTGTGTATATGTATAAATAATCAATTACGTGTTACTTACTAATTGCTTGATGGACACGCCGGTCGCGATTCGTTCTCTGCACAACTTTTCCTGATCACTACGGCTCGTCTCCGAGACATAGTTCTGTGTCTGCATGCGCAAAAAGAAGAAGAACAAAATGCAGGCGCGGATCAGTGAGTATGCATGCAAACAACGAGTTTTAAGTACGGTCAAGTGCGTTTTTGCGCGATCTCGCGCTGTGAATCACAATTACACGGGGTATTTTTCGCGAGGGAAAAAATATGCATTGCTTAATTATATGTTAATGCCAATCGTCACCTCTCAATCATTCCTTCCGACATAGCAGGAAATTACAACTTTCCCTCTCGTAAAAAGCGACTTTATCAAACGTGCTCGGTCATGCTCATTACTTATTCTCATTACTTACTCGCGTAAAAGCGCAAATTTACTCACGCAATTCCCGAAGGTGACAACATAATCTCACCGACGCCTTTAATCAGACGTCGCGCTAATTATTTAGAGCTGCGCCAGCCATTATTTCCGCGATCGTGTCTAGTAAATCGCGAGATGAGGACTCGGATAAGTCTCGTGCCCGCGTTTATCCATTTGCGGAAAGTTAAAGCGAGAAAATAGCATCTGTCGCGAACACATAAACGCGTTACTAGAAGAGAGTTATAACCGAGAAAAACGAAAAAGACGAGAAGAAAGAGAGAATATCGAATATTTCATTAAGATTTACCTTAAATGTCAAAAATGTATTTTATGCTGACGAATTCTAAGAATTTTGACTTGTTCCATTTACGAAAATTTGAATGAAAATATGAAAGAACATTTTATATAACATCTTATATAATTTCGAAACACCTTGTATAAAGTATATGATAGCGAAAATTAATTTTTCAGATTATAATGTTAATAACAAAAATTGGATTAAGATTCGTAAAAATAAAAGGTTAAATAATGTTTCGATTATAATTATTAGTTTGCGGTTAGTCTGAGCAATACGCTTTAACGAAACTTACCAGCGACTTAACATTGACGTTCGATAAATCGTCCTCGTCGGAGAAATCGATCATCTCTGAATGCGATCGTCGAGTACCCGTATGCATGCTTGCGTCTCGTAAGCTACAGTTCTGATGAAAAAAAAAGAAACACAAACACACTGAGCATGCAATAGTGAGAGATTAATAAGCTGCGTCTACGCTAATTTGTATCGAGTCATTAATCGCGTATGAGATATCAAGAATAATTATCATATGCTGCATTAATTTTATTTACGCGATGTATTCTTTCAGAATCCAAATTTCATAAGTATGAGCATTTAAAAAACTTAATTTTCTGTTCTTTCTAAATTTATGAAAATTTTTTTTATTTCAATTAAGAAAAAAATTCATTCTTCCTCGATAAAAATTTCACGAGCAACTAATACAAAAAGCAATGCATTTACGACAATAAATTTATCTCATATTTTGCTGTTTAAATATACAAGTAATTTATATAATTAATTTATATATAGTAAATATATAATTTATAGTATATATAATAAATTATATAAGTAGTTATATAAAAAAATAATTATATAAATTATATAAATAATTTATATAATAAATTATATAAATATAATTTATATAATAAATTTTTATAATTTTATCAATAGAGATGTGCGTATTTGAACCGATATTATGCAAGAGAGAGCTAACTTGCAAATAATAGAAAATTTATATGCAAAATTAAATTGGCAACGAGAGAAATAAATTTAGCACATTCTAAATATATATACTCACACATATATTGTACTCACGCGATAAACAAGACACATCCCACGATATCGTTAATTGGCATAATTAAGGGATAAGATTCGCATGACACGATTGTTATGAGTACTGGCTTGAAATCATTACTATAGTTGTTTCTATTCGAGCAGTTGTAAGTTTGCCTTATGAGTCAAGATAAATAGTAACAGTCATAACGAAACGATAATACAACTTTCAAATCTTTCCTCTGCAATTGATGACGAGTCGTTTAATGCATTCAAATCCTGCTGAGTCAATCGATTTTTGTATAATATAAATACCAAACATTTTTTTTCCATCGATGTTAACGTCATAAAGGATGATTCGCGGAATAGAAGTAAAAGCTCGCGTTCACGTAGCCTGCAAAGGGAAAACGTCGCAATCTCGATCGATTTATATCGTTCGCTGCTCCACTTCATCAGCGCTTCGATAGCGTATCGGATATCTGATTCTAAGAGGAGCTAAATAGAAAACTCGCTCCTATATCTGTGCCAACGAAACCCGGAAAAACCGGCGCATGCAGATGACGAAAAATGTCAGCTTCCGGTTTTCACCGAGTTTTGATTTTCACCAGAGAGTTTTATCAAGCGAAGCAATAATTAACGTGATAACGGTTTCTGCGCACAGTTATTTTATACCCGCGCATTTTGCATGATGAAGGATCGTCCTCACTTATGTTTCTAGAGTAACTGCCAATCGAATAATTGACGCTTATTGGATAAGAAATCGCGTTGACATATATACGCCGTGTAGATAATTAACGCGACAGAACAAAATAAACTGGTGAGCATAGCGTTTACGTTGCAAAACGTATATACAGAGTGTCCCGGAATAATTGCTGATTTCCCTCATTCACCCATCCAATTGTTTCTCTAGCGAAAAAACGTCGATACATCGATGATAATACGACTCGTCAGAGCTCGAGATTTGAGATAACTTTACACGGGATTTAATTCGACTTGGAGCTTTGATTTGACGTCCTATCAGATTTTCTTTCAACTCGGCTGTTAGAGAATCCGCATGGGTGAACGGATAGCTGCGGGACATCCTGTATATATATATATATATATATATATATATATATATATATATATATAAAATACATACACACATACACACATACACACACACACACACTCGCATACACACGCGCTTGCGCATCTATCAAAACGATTTATCACTTACCACGGAGATGTTCTCCTTCTCGAGATCGCTCTTCTTGCTCTTCTTGGTTTTCTTTGTGCGCGGCGTAAGGTTCGGCGAGGTGGCATCGTTACCTGCGACGCCCTCGATCTTCTTCTTCTTCGTTTTCGTTCCAACCTTCGAGGAGGTCACCACGGAACTGGCGGGCACCGTTTCCTCGCGGCTCTCGCTCTGCGAAAGAATAGAAAAGAATATAAATGAGTAGATGAATTAAATTTAGAACACCCGAGTTTGAATTTTGTTCTTTTTAATCGTTCTCGCGCGTTCTGGGATTCCTCACGCGTCTCGAACAATTAAAATGGAAATGCTAATGGTAATTTCTTCCGTTGGAAATACCGAATATAATTCTTCCGTGACTACATGGTATCTGGCACGCGGGTCTCCCGGAAAGGAATACAGGCCCGTAGAAACTAGATTTAAGCGTGTGCTATTGTGCCGTTCTGGGATTCAATGGACTTTATTGCGCACGTCGACGTAAGTGAAATGCGGTCTTTACGGTGGGACACGAAAGTTTACGTTCGCCCAACGAATGCGATTTGCAAGCAATAATATCAATTTCACGGTATTGTAACGCAATCCTTCCGTCAGACATGTATAAGGCAATGAAAGAAAGAAAATGACATTAATGCACCGTTTACGTTATCTTTGTTATTTGATGATTTACAAGAAAATAAAATTTCTATTCTGTGTACGTAAAATTCTATTGTGGAAAATGTAAATCAGAAAACTTATATTTAAAAAATAATAAATTAAATAATAATAAAAAATAATAATTTAAATAATAAATTACATAGTTTTTGGCCAATAAAACAATCGCAGTTCTTCCTTAAAGAAATCATTTAAAAATTGCAATATCAAGCATCTTTCTCTATCACAATTATTTAACATAATTATTAATTAATTAATATATTATACAATAAGATATACTAGAAAATATTTAAAAAAAATTTTCGACTGAATATTCTCTTTACCGACAAATCAAAATTATTGCTCCAACATGATCTTATCCAAGTATCCCGTTGCAAGCTGTTCTTTGGGATGATCAGCCGCGTATTCTCAGCGCACATATGCATATGTGAGCGTGCATAACGCGATCATCTGCACGTTGGAAAGGCGAGATTTGCGACGGAATATTTGTTTAATCATATGGTTTCACCGGCGCGGGCGGAACTGCTCCGATATCGCACGCTGCAATTAAAGCGTCGCCCGCCTACGTGATTCTCGGGCCGACTTGTAATTGTTCGACTCGTAATAATCCGAGTCGCGCACGCTTACGATAACATGCTGAGGTAACGGAATAATTATCAGAAGAGAGAGTTTACCGCGCTCGGGTCCCACGAGTCAAGAAAAAGAGATCAGGATCATAAATTGAAATTAGAAAAGCATTAATTTTCGAATTTACAAATCAAAAAGGTGAGTCGCTCCTGCTCTCCTCGTCAAACCAAAGCGATGATCCGGCTTTGATTCGTTCGGAATATAGCGGAACTAGGTTTTAACAGCGACGTATCGGTTTTAGAGACGACTGATAAGAGCGCCGAGTGTTCATAGAGCTCCGATTTATGCGCAACGGCTTAATCGTTCGACAAGTATGACTGCCCGACAAGGAAGACTTCCGATAAGAGTTCCGCGCGCGAAAAGCAATATTCCGGAACGCATGAGCTATGCGAGCGTAACGCAAAGCCGTGACATAATGCGCACTGCCGGTAATCAAGACGACGTGACGTTTGCCTATTAATTACCTCGAGACTCAAGAAACACTAAGCACAACATTTGAGTTGTCGTAATGAGTTTATATTTATTTTCATTCGTACGTCGATTGAATACACATCGAATGTAAACATCGATCGATTGACAGCACTATGTTAATAGAAAGGAGAATGTTCGAATGCTCGATACATCTTAGGGAATTAAAACGAGAGAGAATTTCGCGAATCTTGACAATAATTCTGATGCATCTTGTTAATTTTTCTTCAAAGATCTTTAGGACAATTGGAACTCATAGCAAATCTCTTTGAGATGTTTCACAGGCTATTTGCTTTCCATACTTACGTGCTCTCTGACACAAAAGTACGGAAGCAGAGCTTCAGGAGAGCGCTACGTTTCAATCCTTGTATTCACTCTCATTCCGAGGAAGCCGGAAGATACTCGCCTTCCGACCTTTTCTCTACCGAGAACTTTCCCATAGAAAGGCAATCGCGCCGATCACATCATCACTAGTTCACAAAATACAAAATGGTATACCCAAACGGTTCGCGAACTTATCCTAGTAGTCTCTAGCACCGGCCACGCACTCAGAATGACGGACGCGCGTCCACCTTGGCAACGAGGTCGGCGAAGGACAGAGGAAGAAAGAAGAAGTCATTGGAGCCGAATTTCAAGTGCGAGTGAGACGGCCGGCGACCGAAGCGAGAGTGGGAGTCATGTAGAGTGAAAGAGAGAGAAGAAAAAAGAGAAAGAGAGAAAGAGAGAGAAAGAAAGAGAAGACTACAAGGGGGATCGGGGAGAAAAAAGGCGAATGTTCTTGCTCAACAACCGTATCGTCTCCCGCTCGCGGCCGAATCCATCAGCGACTTGCACCAGCACCGATGAATCAGACTGATCGTCGTCCAGGTCGTACCTGATCGATGATCATCCTTGTGACGCTGGGGGCGATGCGAAGAGACGCACAAGGTGCTTCAGATATGTCTGAGAGACCGGAGGAACGCGTCTCCCGAGGAGAGCGTGCGCGTCTCGTAACGGGTTCAGGAAACTCGATGCTCTCCAAAGCGTGGCACGCGCTTCCCGATTGGCCGTTTCCACCGGGCACGTGGAACCGATTGGCCAAGTGAGAGCTCTCTGGATACCGCTGCTCAAGCCAGCAGAACCGAGCCGAGGTGGAACGTCCCGAAGAACAAGCGGCCGGCAAAAGCCGTTCTTACGAGAGCGCAGTACGAGCGTACGATCGATTTTGACCTCGATCTTGGTCGGCCCTTAACTGGTGACATAAAACTGATATTGAGTCTCATAAAAAATAAAAATTCAATGAAAAAAGAAGAGGGAAAAAAATTCGTTGAAATTTTTTAATATTCTAAATTCAAATAAAAATAGGAAAGAAGTGCAATTTCGCAATAAAAATTTACTATTTTTAAAATTTTGCTTTCCAAATACACCGCTTAAGCAAATGCTGCATTGGAAAAATGAGAATAAATAATATATTATTTATGTGTAATATCATCCTGTAACTCTCCTTTTACATTTTCTTAATTTGCATAAGCAATGAAAGCAATCACTGCCCAGAGAAAATTATCTTTTTTGAAAAATCTGCATTGCATAAATAATAAAATAGAAAATTACAGAAAGAGTAAATAAAACTTAGGGATATAATTATCAAGTTTGACAGAATATCTAGAAATATGATACTAGTTAGAAAATGAATCAATTAAGGATGAAATATCTCTTTTTCAAGGATTAATTATTTCCGGAAAATCAATTCAATTAAGGAAGCAAGTGTCATTGTACCGCCGCGTGATAAGCGACGTTTCGCGGATTGATACGAAAATCCACGGTGATAACTCGACTTCCGTTGCCGTCGCACATCTCGCATTTGCATGAAATTTGTGGCGTGAGCGATCGTCACGCGCCGCTGATCGTGGGAGGGTGTACCTTCGAGGGCATCGAGGAGATGAAGGCAGATAATACTGGTTCGGATTTTTCGAGTAATGAGTTGTAGCGAAAGGTACGTTGCGAGTCACAAGTTGCAATTATGCAGGAATGTTGAGATAAATGGATAATCGTAAACAAGGAAAAGAGAAGGGAAGAGGGAGGAAGAGATTATCGATTAATTAGACTTATACTTATTCTCGATTATCCAAGTACGTCGAAAACTGGAAAATTAATTAATCGGATTAATAGTAACGGATCACCGATCGCTGTGTAATTTGTATAAATTACATAAATTTGCTAAAACATAAATTTATTAAAATTCTATGCACATCGATGAGAGTATCACGTTATACGTGGATCCCGCGGACGTTCTGAGAATCGTTTACCTGGAGGCAAACGCTGTCGAAAAAGAGGAATAAACGAGATTAATCGCTCCAACGTGTAAAAACATGCGTAGGAGTTACATAGAGCGATGGTGCAATTAGTCTTGCGGAGATTGCTAAGAGGAGTGAATTCACAATGCGCTCGCAAGAATTATCCAACACAAGCAACCTCGAACGGGCTTGCTTAAGTTATGGCACGATTGCGTCTCTTTCTCTCTCTCTCTTTCTACACGATATGAGATGCGTTCTATGCGTACGCTCTTTACCGGCAAGGGCAGAAAACAACCCTATCAATTGCAAGATATATAAATTACACAATCTGTATATATGTGAACTAGTCGAACGTTAATGAAACGTTTGAAATTATTTTTCGCACAATCGGGCACGATTTTAATGATAAGTAATACCATAAAAGAAGATATTAATTTTTAAACTTTTAACGAGGTGATAACAATGATGTTATTTCACATTGATAAAACATCAAAGGCAAATCATCGGCAATCAGGCATTAATTATTAAACGAAACGATCATTGCTCTTACCTGTAGAAACGACTGGCTCGAAAGAAAGTGCTTTGAAACGGTGAATTTGCTTTGGCACTCGCAAATTAAATCAATGTGTCATTGTCATAAAGTTTATGATAATGACACATCGTTAACTTTAATTCCTAAACACTGAAAATAGTTGCGAGTGCCAAGATTCGATTTATGCAGATATGTAAACGGATCTTGTCGGCTGTTCGAGTCTCTTTCTCTCTCTCTCTTTCCCTCGAGCCGTTTCGTTATGCGTGGGCATCGAGTTAATTCACGAAAAAAGCACACTTACATCGCAGGCGTTAGAAACATCGCTCGTCTCCGTCTCGTCCGGTGTGGCCAGGGGCGCGCGAGGGGACGTCGGGGGCGCGAACGAATCATCCGCTTTCCCCTCGTTATCGTCCCTCGTCGCCTCGTTAATGTCACTGCTGCGTTCCATCTCACGGTCCTCTTCGACGTCGGCTGATTTCGTGGCTTCCTCGACCGTCGTCCACGAGTCCAAATTCTCATCGACGTGCTCGACGACCAGCTTCGTTTCCGAAAAAATCGTCACGCTCGTGTCCGACACCACGATCTCGGTCTTCTCGATGAATGTCGAATCCGACGCCGACAGCTCGCTCGAGGATTCGTCCACCGGGTTCTGCGCTTCTTCCGCGATGTCTCTGGGAGATTCCGAGACGGATTCGCTCTCCAGGATTGATATTGCCGGTGAACCGGTAATCTCTGACGCTACGATCTGAGGTGTCTCTTGATTGGCCTCCTCGCTGAGCATCTGGCGCTCCGAAGCGAGGAACTCTTGCGTACTGATCGTCTCCGTGAATATCTCAGGCTGGCTGAGGATACCATCGTCGGAGTTTTCAAATTGTTCCCGGATGCAGCGAGGATCCTCTTCGTGTTCCTCGCTCAACTTCGAGTCTGCATCTTCGATGATTTCGGAAGGCTGTTTCTCCTGGGAAATAAGCGACGCAGGAATCTTTTCTTCGATGTACTCGGGAGAATCCTCGAGCTTCCCGATATGTTCGTTCATGGGAGATTCTTCGTTTGGAAACTCCAGGTTATTGAAACTTTGATTTTGGTGATGGATCGCTTCGTCGAAGTTGTCGGAGAACTGCTGGCTGCTCGAAAGCAACGCTTGCTCGATGCACGTATCCTGAGCGACGTCTGCATTTATCTCATTTTTTTGATCGGCATCGGTATGATAAAGATTTTCGTCGCCCGGCAATTCTTGCGCCAGTCCCTCCTCCTTAGTTGCGGAGGATTGGGAGATCGACGTGTCGATGAGCTCGTTCGTGACGTTACTAGAATCCAGGACGTCTGTGGCAGGCATGACGTGATCCTCGGTGATTGCCTGATACTCTTCGATAGGTTCTTTTCGATTGGACAGCCAATCGTCATCGCACGTTTCTTGAACGACTTCCGACTGTTCAACAAACACCTGTTCCTCCTCCTCGTCGGGAGAATACACCGGCTCCGATTTTACGACCTCGGCTTTGGCGTCCGGAGATACGTGTCCGTTTTGGTGGGGTTCCTCGATCAAAGCATAATGTTCGCTCTCGGCCGCTATAAACTCGGCGTTAATATCGATAGGATCCGGTCGACGATCCAGGATGATCCTCTTGATCGTCTCCGGTTGAGGGACGGATTGTTCCTCGAGGTCTTCGGCGATGTCGTCGTCGCTCTTGCTCGAGCAGATCCTTAGCGCTAGCTCGCTCTCTATCAATTCCTGCAGGCTCTTGTCCTCATTATCGAGCTCATTACGCGTATTGTTCGTGAGTACGAGATCGTCATCGTCGTCTTCGTCGCATAACGAAATTAGTTGATTGTTACTCGCGGTTAAATCATCCAAATCAATCAAACCGTTGTTAGACTGAACACCGCACACCTCGCTCTTCTTACTACTTACTACATTGATCGATTTCTTCGTCGCCACCTCCGCCATCGTGATCCCTCGTGCGGTCACACTGTGGACGCACCTGGAAGAAGACGATCGGTAATTTAAATCATCAGAAATATAAATAAGCACATTTATAATGCGATATTAAGGTAATCGGGAATTTGTCTCGATTTGAGGAATGTTAATGTCGCAACTGCGATAAGCCTATAAACTTCTTTTATATTTTGACACTTCATAAGAGGATATATGATATGTTGCAATAATGCTTCTATCTCTTCCTAACACGAACAAGAAAAGCACGTATAAATTTATAGACGATTAATGCCGAGATTCATATTAATACAGAGTTGAAACTGGGCAACGGGAACGCAAAATGTAGAACCGATAAATAACATTCACGAGTAACCGGTTTTCCTATGTAATTTCGAGCTAGAAAGTGTGAGATGGAATAAAAATTCCACGAGATGCTCGTTTGCAAAGCAAAGAAACGTAAGACGCTACGCGTAAAATTAACGTTTCGAATAATATAATGAAAAGTTTATTTATAACATTGTTCTTATAAAATATATATCGAATAAAGATGCACGAGTATGTTTGTCAAAATTAAATTATATATACATTAACCAAGATTAAATTTTATATTATAAGAACACACTATAAATTTCATCAAAATAAAATTTTTGTGTTCAAATATTTCTTTCAAAATTCTACATAAATTATGTCATAATAAATCTTTTTACACTCTTGCGATTTTCTCAATCAATCATAATAGCATATATTGAGAATAATAATTTACTTAGCTGTATTTATTATAATTCATTCTTTCATTTTGCGACATAATAAGCATATATGAATCTGATCTCTTCGACCCGCATACTTGACTTTCTCCCTATCGATGAGCAAAGAAAACTCTTCAGGAAGGCGCATGGTGAACCATCTGCCACTCGATGAAGTAGCGTCGGTTTATGGTTATGCAAAATATAGTCCGCGCAAGTGGTCGTGCAAGATCAGGGTCGAGGGGATATATAGCACGCTTGTTAGGCAATTCCTGCCGGTCGCTTAAATAACGCTCGCTTCAATTTATTTTATTGCATTGAATTTTTCGTCGACTTTGTCATATGCTAATTAAATTCATTTGCACGAATATTACGTCGCAGAGACATTAAATTTAATATGTCTGCTGTATGAAAAGATGATGCGTAAAATACGTCGTTAAACGTTAGCAATAATTTTCCGCGTACGTCAAATTATAGCATCTTACTCTGGAGCATCGGAATTATATTATTGTACACAGAAAAAAATTAAGTGTCAAATCAAAACTTATGTACTGAAACTAACGCGTTCATTGTTTTGTATATACGCAACAATTTATAATCTTCTTAGAAGAATTTAATAATTTTAAATTTCAACAATATTATAGTCTTTTAATATTGTAATTATCACCTCAAGAATATATAATTATTTAATTCTATTTTAAGAAAATTATTAATCTTTGATTTAAAAATGTTATTTTTTTATCTAACATTGTTTCTTTTCCATTTAAGAAGATTAAATCTTAAATCAAAAGAATATATTTTTCTTGATTGAACTATATAAAATGATTTCATTCAAGTAAGCAATTATTCAAGCAATTATATATTTCTTTAATTAACGCATTATGCGATATTAAGATAATAATCACTAAGATAATAATACTAAGATAATAATATTAAGGATAATAATTAAGGTAATAATCTCATTTCAAGATTTCCACGTTAAAACTAAATATATTTTCAAAACAAGAATGTCCTTTTTTTCTGTGTACAGCAGTATATGTATTTCGTGCGCTCTCAAAAATTTCTGACCCCGCTTACGAAATCGTCGCAACGGAATGCGTATGATATTCTCATACGCGGATGTGCCAGCACCGAGATGCACCAAGAGCACCAAGTCCGCCACGATATTAACGGAAGTTACGCCTCTATAGAACCCAGTCGCGACTGCGAACCGGCGTTGTTGGCCGGCAAGCCAACCTTCTATTATTAGCCATTCCGCACGTCGTACATTTATACTTCTGCGACGGAATGCACTTTCAAAATATGAAATTCAAAATTCATAATGATTATTTCGAGATAAAATTTTTCGAGCCGTTATCTATAATTTATAATTGCTTTTATCCTCAACAGTATCCTATTTAAACCGTGGAATTAAAAGCAACATGTCCACTATCTATTTGAGATTTCCTGATATTTTTCAAATTATTCGTATAATTAAAACAAAAATTATCTGATGTAATAATTCAGATTGATAATTGAATTAAGAATGAAAAACAATTCTAGGAAATTTTACTCGGTGCTCCAATTCCCACTAAAAGAGAGCCTAGTCTCGTTCATCTTCCTTTTCTGTTGCTCGGGAGGTAACGGGCCCCCGTTAATTCCCTCCTAATTTGACAAATTCCAGCGCTCTATACATACATCCCCAACCGTAAGAATTTATAAACAGTAGCCGGTTTTCGATCCCGCGACGCGATGCGGCGAGTTCAAAATTAGAAAGTAATGCGTGGGGCGAGCGATTTCTTACGCGTATGCATCGGCTTCTTTCCATGCTTAAAACGCGATATCGCGCGCAAAATTTTTTATTTGTTTGTCCCAGCCACCTCCGAGTCTTTTTCGTAGCTGTTTAATTTAATCCCTCTCTCTGTCAGTATCACTGTCCGCGATTCCATCTTCTCTCCTCGTCTTAACGCTTTCTGCTCATTTAACCCTCTTTTTTTCTTCTCCTCTCTCTCTTTCTCTTGCTCGTTTCTCTTTACACGATGTTTCACCGAGGTCGTTTCTCGGGTTCACGACCGAGGCACTCTTTCCCTCCCTCTCGCAGTCTCACTCTCTTCTTCTGCCTCTACTCTCCTTTCCCCTCGCCTCTCTATTTATCCTGCCACGTTTCCTTCTCTCTCATCTTTGGCTTCCCTCTCGTTTCAACCTCTCTCTATTTTTAGAATGACACACTACCGCGATTCAAAGCCGCATCGTATAGAGAGTCCTCGGAAAATGTTCTGCCCAAATGTGGTGTGCAAACGAGAGCGAGCGGTTATGAAAACGATCCAGGAGAAAGAGAATTTTTTCTCCTTTTGGATCGCGCGACAGATGCACGCGATATGTATCCTGCCGTGTTGTAAGGCTGAGTGTAACCCCTGCCACCGGATCGCAGGAAAGTAAAGCTCGCGAGATTGCCCGAACAAATTGCAAGGCGATGGTAATCTCTTGAAAAAGCCGACTTATTAAATTATTTCGGAAAGATTGAAATGAAATTCTAAATATCGCATAATTTAAATTTCACCAAAGAAATTTAAGACACGCGTGTTCGCTCGAGAATTTATAGTCCATAACAATTAACTACGATATACATATATCCTGTACAAAAGGATTGTAAGAATATTGTAACTTTAAAAGCTAATAAAAAATAATTGATCACGCGATTGAAATTTGCTGGGCGTTTCTCTGTGAAAATTCGAAGACTCGATGCTCATTTCACGGTGAGATAAAAACAGTAGATACGCGCAACAACGGGAATTACGATAATAAATAGAATCTGCTTACGCTTTAATTTTGCGCCATTAAAAAGAAAATGCCTCGGTTTGTACGGATCGTGGTCCAAATAGCAGAATCGTATCGGCCTCGCGTTGGAGAATGCACACGCCGTTGGGTGTTGCACATGCCGTTGTCTCTTTTCGTGCACGAAAATGTTGCAATCGCGTTTATATAGTAGTACGCTCGCTAAGTATACCTCCGAGAATACCAATTCTACGTGTATGCGGCAGAGTCGTTGGAAACGCAAGGTCTGCGCGTTCTTAAGAGCACCCACCATCGCGTATATTCGCGATTCTCGGTGCACCTACTATGGAATTAAAGCCTCGAACGGTACCGAGACTGCAGCGTAGACTGTGAACGCGGTCAATGAGTTAACAAGCGACTCTGCGTGCAATTATACTCGATCGAACAATTTGGAAAATAATTTAATATTAAATTATTTCTACGTAATCATATATGTAAGAAGTGAAAAATATCCTTTATCGATCTTGGGATATTTTGCTCTGATAAAGTAATAATTTGGAATAATTGCAGTAGCTAAAAATATATTTAAGTTAGCACATCTCGTTATTATATATTAATCTCTTATTATTAATATACTTGCTCGATTATACGATTCTTGATCATGATTACATGATCTTTAATTTAAAAATTTCCAATTAAAAAATTCCAATTAAAAATTCGTGTTTATTATATATATTTTGTACTAACGCAATTCTCTTTAAAATTCGCCGACTTCTTGACATAAATGATTAAACGTAAAATAGTGTCGTCGCCTTATTTCTCTATTTTATGAAGATGTAACGACTTTTAGGCTGTGATCAATAATGTAAATTTTACTTCTGTTCGGGACTGTTGAATAATGTAGACGCTTCGCTATCCGGATTAATCGTGATAGGTCTTCATCTCAATAGCGTTTTACCGGATAATGTCGCGTCGGTGATTCTATTCAACAAAACGCTGTACTACTTTACATATCTGCGTTAAATTAGAATTTGTAAAGATTGTCAAATGACTGAATCATCGCACACATTCCTTCGTTCAACTACTTCCCGTTTCTTTAAAAGTATTAGAATGCAGATTCCGCTAAATTAATTAGTGAAATATATATCGATTCAATAATGAAAAATATTGCAATGTCAATACATATATTTATTATTTATTTTGCAAAAAACGCAAATATTATTAATCTATATTAATCTATTTTCTATGACGTAATATAAATTAAATAATTATTGATTAATAAAAATGATAATTTTAATTCTAATTAATATAGCCAAATTTTAAAACAAATATATAAATAATTCGAGTTATTTATTAAATTCATCATCAAAATAAAATAAAATAATTATCATAAAAATAAAATTATAGACAATCAAATCATAATAATGATTTTAAAAAATCAACGAATCTCTCTTTAATATGATATAGATTATTGATAACGAATGTGTGTGTGTTTTTATTAAGAACCCTCTGTGCCATCTTCTTCCTCCTCTCTCTGTATGTGTATGTA